TTGCCATAGAATATGTTTTGGGCTGGGGTGTAGGGAGTAGGTATTTTCAGGGAGAGAAAAGAGAGAAATGAACCAGGACATGAGAGGTGGGGTTTTGGCAGGAAATATTTCACAGAAAAAAAACTCAAACCAAGTCTTGGAGAATTCCTTTCCAGTCAAAGGGAACAGCATGTGCAAAGACAGGCAGGAAGAAGTAGGTGCTCCTTGTGGGTTAAGTGCGGAGGGACTGCGATATGGGAGGAGGTGAGGTTGGCAGGGGTGTGTGCACCATGCAAAAATGTTGGGATTCCAAGATTCCAATATTCCAAGTCATATTAGGGAGTGGCTAAAGGGTTTAGAGCAAGCACCAGGAGGGTAGTACCAGGCCTTGCCTGAGCCATTGGGTGGCAGCATCAGGGACCCAGGTAGGCCAACCTGCAGCAGGAGGAGGGGCTGGCTTTAGTCAGGAGAGAGTTGGCTTGGAGGAGCATCTTCACACTGCAGGTCAGGAGAGATTTCCTAAAGTGCAAGCCCAGTCAGGTTGCTGCCTTGGCCCACAATGCCCTGTGGGGTTCTGGCCCCTGCCTAGTCCCTTCTTGAGTTGCACCCACCCCTCCCCCACTTCTTCTGCACCAGGTCCCTCTGCCAGCCCACCCCATCCCTTACCTTCTCTTAACTGGAGTATAATTCACATATCATAAAATTCACCCTTTTAAAATGAACAATTCAGTGGATCTTAGTATATTCACAAAGTTGTGCAACCTCCACCACTAATTCTAGAACACTTCATTACCCCCAAAAAATCCCATAAACAGTTTCTTCCCCACCCCATTCCTCCCACTCCTAGGCTCTAGTTCCTGGCAACCACTAATTGACTTTCTGTCTCTAAGGATTTACCTATTCTGGACATTTCATATAAATGGCATCATGTCACTTATGGTCTTTTGTGTCTGACTTCTTTCACTCTGCATGATGTCTTCGATGTTCATACGTATCAGAGCTTCCTTTCTTTTAATATTCCATTATATGGATGGACCACATTTTATATATCCATTCATCTGCCAATGGACACTTGGATTATTTCCACTTGTTGGCTATTAGGAATAATGCTGCTGTGAATAGTCATGGACAAGTTCACATGTGGATGTGTGTCTAGGAGTAGAATTGCTGGGTCATGTGGTAACTCTTGTTGAACTTTTTGAGGAACTGCCAGACTGTTTTCCAGTCTACCTTATCTTTTATTCCAAGCATTTGTCTCCATCTGTAGTAGGAAGTTTGGGTGACCATTTCTTAGTCTCTTCCCCTGTATGCTCTGGGTGGGCAGGGGCTGTGTCTCTTTGCCCACCAGCCTTCAGTCCTCAGCATAGTACCTAGCACCTGGTAGACATCCAGTAAATATTGGTGGTTGAGCAGGTTGGTTCAATTCCTCAAATATTTATCAACTCTTAGGTTGTACCACGTCCAGCGGGGGACACTCCAGTAGCAGAGACCCAGACAATGACAATTCCTGCCCTGGCCAGGGGTCTGATGGAGATGTTCAGGAGTCATTTGGCAATCTGGCTGGTTCTCAAGAGAAAGGAAAATCTGGGAATGGAGGTGTCACAATCACTGACATATATTCAGTCATTTAAGCCGTAAGAGTGAGATCACCAACAACATGAAGGGACAATGGCCCAGGCAGAGCCTATGGAGGAAGAGGCACCATGTGGGAGGCTAAAACGGGCAAAGAAGCAGGAGACCCAGGAGCCCAGCCTCTTGGAAACTAGATGGGAGAGGACTTCAAGAAGGAAGAGGAATGACTGACAGTGTCCAAAGTTCCCTAAGAGGGAGAGGGAAAAGAAGATGGGAGATGTCTGGCAACTGGACTTCTCTGTCCCCATGCTCTCTGCCCAGCTCACCAGCAGAGTCTTCTTCCCACCCCTCTTGCTTGGCTCAGCTTTCTAAGCCATGGGAGCGATGTGGATGGTGGTGCCAGCAGGAGCAGGGTTAGGTGGCTCATTGCCTACTCTGCAGGAGCCAGGATCCCCCTTCAGGTGGCTGAGTTAGAGTAGGGGCAAATGGCATTGAAGTTGGGACCCCAGACGTAGAGGGAACCTGTGTGTGGATTTTAGAGGTATGGCCCCTTGGCCCTAGAGGAGACCTGCCTTGTCTCTGCATCTCCGAGCCCATTTAGCAAGGTAGAAATGGCTGCATACCCTGTGGAGTTGTGTTCTCGTCACCTTGTTCCACTCAATGCCTAGAACAGCGCCTGGCCCTCAGTAAGTGCCAGGAAAGAAATGGTTGAAACAGTAAGAGTCATGGCACTCTGGGGAGGGAGGTGAGGTTGCTCACAAAGCTAGGATGGCAGCAAGCCAGTGTCCATCTGAATCTACTCAGTTCCAAGGGTGGCAAGATCTTGTCAGTGCAGAAAGCATGCATGCCTGTGTGCGTGCAAGAGTATGCATGGGTATGAGATAGTGTGTGCATGTGAAAGTGAATGTGTATGAGTGTGTGTCTACCTGTATATCAAGTGTGAGTTACATATAAGTGTGAGATTGTGTGTGAGTGTGTATATCTGCCTGTATGAGTATGTGTCTGAGTGTATGTATGTACATTCACCAGGAGATGGCTTCCAGGGCAAAGCAGTGTTTAGAGAGTCCAGGGATGAGTCAAAAGAAAGTTCCTGAGGGATCATTAGTTTCTACCTTTCGGACTGCAAATTTCAGCCCTATGCATTGAGTCAACTTTATTTTCTGAATGAAATACACATTACTATATGATAAATTGCTGAACACACTCTCCTGGTGGATGGTTCCTGGTGTGGTTTTTAATTTTTAACAGAAACTCAGACCTGAATCATTTTCTCAGGCTCTTTAGGGGAGAGGGTGGGCCAATTATGCTCTGGGCTCAGCAAGGAAGAGGCATGACTGAGAGAGTGTCCCAGGTCATGACCCTAGCTACATGTAGTCTCTTTCTCTGTGGCCCCCACTGCTCCATAAATCCAGGTGTGCTTTTGAGGCTCCTCCCTATCTCCCAACTCTGAAGCTGGGAAACCCATGCAGCCTTCCCAGCCCCTTCCTTCACAGAGAGATCCTTCTAGGTCAGCACTTCTTGTCCACAGACTGACTCTGCAGGAGGCCTTGGTGCAGCCCCCACTGTTCCTCTGTCAGGAATGATTAACTCCTAGCTAGGTGGTACATGTTGCTTGATCTTTGGAGCAGGTGGTCCCTGGCCAGCCGGTTCTGCCAGGACCTAGAGTTCATACCACTCACCGAAAGCCAGAGCCCTTAGTACCCAACAGACTAGGGGAGCTCTCAGGAACCAGAGGCAGAACCAGTGGCCCTGAGGAGTCTCAGAGTCCTGGGGAGGGAGGGTTATTGCCCACCTCCTTAAGGTGAAAGCAGAATAGTACCCCCGTGACAGGGCAGCATGAGGGAAGGCAGCCAGAATCAAGTGCATGGCTAGGATCAAATCCAGCCAACCCCTGAGCCCTTGGGTGTTGGCTGGGGGCTAAGCTTAGACTGCAGGAAGGTGCCCAGTGACCTGAGGTGGCCAGGCAGGTGTGATAGTTCATTCTGTCACTATCCCCCTGCTGCCCAGGGGACCAGTTCCCACCTCTCCAGAGACCAGGCAAGGGCCCCTATGCAGGCAGAGCTGTCAGAGCCAGGTCAGGTGGGGTCCAAGAGCACATAGTGGACTCCTGGTACAGAGCATGCAGGAGAATGGGTGGGCATGAAGGGACTGCCCACAGTGGCAGTAGGGGAGCAGGATTTTCTTCCTGCCACCATGACCCTGGGGATCACTATCTTCTTAGACCCTTTGAGCTAACGTGGGCTCACCAGAAGCAGAATGACTGAGTAAAAGGAACACTATCCCCAGCTCCTAGCAGCCTTCCCTTTCCTAGCCATTCCTGATGACTAGAACCTCCTACAAGGTGATGCCAACCCCCACAGATGTCCCACAACAGGCATAGCGGAACCCCGAAGCCCTGGTTCCCAGCTAGCCCTCAACCTTGGCCCAAGGATAGATAATAATAGAATGTTTATGGAATGATCACTAAATATCAGGCACTGTTCTCACACACCACGTGCATAGCATACTCAGTTCTCACAGTCAGCCTCTGAGGCCTGTGAGACTCAGAGAAGCCTACACAGCTGGTTGAGAGGGTGCCACGCTTTAGGCACACGTCTATCTGAGTCTGGAGCCATAGCTTTGGGTATGGTGCTGAGCTGCCTCTCATGACACTGGCAGAAGGTGAGAGGCCAATGTCCTTGGAGCCCCCCAGGAGGGTGGGGCCAGACCATCCCCAGGAAAAATAGGAGAGATGGCCTGACATCTGCATGGCACACGGCAAGCCAAGATCAGGATACCCATCAGAACTTAAAGCTCTTACTCTGTATCCACCAGGGCACAGACTCCCAGAACTTTGATGCATCCCTGGCTTCCCAACCCAAGTGTAGTCAACTCTTCTGGCAATTGGCAGCACCAGACAATTAACAATAAAGAATAATTGCTTCTGGCTGTGCTAGCAGCCCACTTTGGTTGATGAGACAGGGAAGATCAGATGCTGAGGCAGGCCTCCCAGGGCAGACCACAGCAGGAGACAAGGACCAAGGCTATCAGAAAGGGCCACCAAAGTAGGGGCTCCTGCACCTCAACGTCCCAGCAGGGGTCTTGAGTGACGGAAGTCTTGGCCTCAGGCTCTGCTGAAGACTCCAGGGTGTGGAGATGAGCCTTGGCCTTCATGCCCATGGACAACAGGACAGCTTGGGCCCTGCTGTGGTCCTATTGTATCTGTCCAGGCATCTGGAGCACACTGGCAGGGGTCCTGGTAGTCAGCATCTGGAATAGAAGGTGCTGGCATGGCCATCACCTGAACTGGGGTGCATGGGGATGAGGGGTACACCAAGTGTACAGAGCAGAAGTGGGAGCCCAGAGTGAGGAAATGTGCACAGGTGAACAGCAGGCTCAGCTGGCCCAGAGCTGGCAGAATGAGGTGGAAACCCAACCCAATGCTAACCATGTGTGTCTCTGGCCCCCAGACAGAGCTGTGACCTGGCCCTGCTTGCAGTTGATGAGCCTGCCCACCATGGCAAGCCCCACTCTGAGCCCTGACTCCTCATCCCAGGAGGCCCTGTCAGCCCCCACCTGCTCCCCCACCTCTGACTCTGAGAACCTCAGCCCCAATGAGCTGGAGCTGCTAGCCAAGCTGGAAGAGCAGAACCGGTGAGTTGGGGCCTGGCGTAGGAGGAGGGTGTGCAGGGTACAGCTTGGGCCCCAAACAGAAGCTCCTGGATGCTCCCTCACACTCATGCCTGAGTCTGGTCCTGGGCAAAGTAATAGCTCCCACCAGAGGCAATGTCATCCTCCTAACCCTGAGTAAACAGACAGTTCCCCATTCAGATGAGAAGACCAAGGTTTCTAGAAGCAGAGTGAATCTTGGAACCTGGCTGTGTTTCTCAAGCCATTGTTAGACAGAAGAGTAAAGCCTCTGACTCTGGAGTCAGGCCTTCCCACCTTTTTTTTCTGGCCCTCCCCTTGTTTAAAATGTAGGTTTATTCCCTACTAATTGGAAAGAATATATGCACCCCTATGTTCATTGCATGGTTATTTACAATAGCCAAGATATGGAAGCAACTCAAGTTCCCATCAATAGACAAGTGGATAAAAAAGCTGTGACACATGTCTCAGCCAGTTTGGCTCAGTGGATAGAACATCGGCCTGTGGACTGAAGGGTCCTGGGTTCGATTCTGGTCAAGGGCACATACCCAGGTTGCGGGCTCTATCCCCAGTAGGGGGCGTGCAGGAGGCAGCCGATCAATGATTCTCTCTCATTGATGTTTCTATCTCTCTCTCCCTCTCCGTTCCTCTATGAAATCAATGAAAATATATATTTTTAAAAAGCTGTGATACATATAAAAAGAATGAAACCTTACCATTTTCGATAGCATGGATGGACCTAGAGGGTATTATGCGAAGTGAAATTAAAGTTGATCAGAAAAAGACAAATACCATATGATTTCACTTATATGTGGAATCTGAAGAACAATGTAAACGAACAAAACAGAAACAGACTCATAGATACAGAGAACAGACTGATGGTTACTACAGGGAGGGGAATGGGGACTGGGTGAAAAAGGTAAAAGGATTGAGAAGCACAGATTGATCGTTACAAAATAGTCATGGGGATGTAAAGTATAGCATAAGGATTTGGGTCAATAATCCTATATAATAAAAGAGAAACATGTAAATTGACCATCCCTCCACGTTGCTCACCAGCCAATCAGGAGTGGGTATGCAAATTAACCTGACAAAGCTGACAGGTTAATTTGCATACACAGGCACCAGGTGGAGAGCAGAGCGGGAGAGCTGGCGGAGAGTGGAGCGGCTTGGGGAAATTGGCTCCCCAAGCTGTCAGACGGAGAGCAGAGAGGGAGAGCTTGGCAGAGTGGGAGGCCATGGGACCGAGACAGCAGGAAGGGAAAACCAAGATTGCAGGGAGCACCAGGAATTCTGGGAATAGTAGTTTTGGTGGCAGCCCCAGGACCAGAAGCGGAAGCCCAGAACATGGGGAGCACCAGGAATGCTGGGAATCATAGTTCTGGTGGCAGATGGATCTCCTAGACACTAGAGCAGTGGTTCTCAACCTTCCTAATGCCGCGACCCTTTAATACAGTTCCTCATGTTGTGGTGACCCCCAACCATAAAATTATTTTCGTTGCTACTTCATAACTGTAATTTTGCTACTGTTATGAATCGTAATGTAAATGTCTGATATGCAGGATGTATTTTCATTGTTACAAATTGAACATAATTAAAGCATAGTGATTAATCACAAAAACAATATGTAATTATATATGTGTTTTCTGATGGTCTTAGGCGACCCCTGTGAAAGGGTCGTTCGACCCCCAAAAGGGTCGCGAACCACAGGTTGAGAACCGCTGCACTAGAGCAAAGTGAGCCTGGAGCAAGTTACTGTTGCGGTGGGGGATGGAGGAAAAACAAAGGTGAGAGACATAAGTAAAATCAGAGTGTCTAGGAAAAATTAAAGGGAAGATATCCTAAAACTTCCAGGAAATCTCCACCAATGAAGCAAAGAAAAAAAAATGCCTCTATTATTCTGTGAGCAACAAACCAAACTGAGTTGGGGTCTCAGACAATTCGCTCATATGATTGCAAAGACAGACAGAAACTCCCAGATTGGAGAGGGTTCCCCTGAGGGCTCCCAGATTGGAGAGAAGGCAGGTTCGGGCTGAGGGACCCCCACAACCCCCAGTGCACGAATGTCGTGCACCAGGCCTCTAGTATTGTAATAACTATGTATGGTACCAGGTGGGTACTGGAAATATTGGTGGGAACACCTTCTTTTTAAAAAAAAAAACTATTTGGGGGGGGAATGGGGGAATAAAGACACATATGTAATACCTTAATAAAGAAAAAATTAAAAATAAATAAATAAACTCATTTTTAATTATGTTTTTATTGAGTTTTAGAGAGAGAGGAAGGGAGAGGGATAGAGAGATAGAAACATCAATGAGAGAGGAACATCTTTGGTCAGCTGCCTCCTACATGGCCCCTACTGGGGGCTGAGCCCGCAACCCGGGTATGTGCCCTGACCAGGAATCTAACCGGTGACCTCTTGGTTCCTAGGTCAATCCTCAACAGCTGAGCCACACCAGCCATACACTTTCTAAAGTATATGATTGTCTAATCACTATGCTGTACACCTGAAATTAATATAAAATAATGTTGAATATAAACTGTAATTGAAAAAATAAAAATTTTTTAAAAAGGGAGTCAAATTGATGCTTAGCAGACAAGTACTCCTTGAAGCCCTTTAAATCTGCTCTGGCTTTCCTCCTTTGACATGTAAGTACTTTTAATTTTCCATAGAGTTGTAGAAGAAGAATAATTACATTCATGAGTATGAGTATTTATTAAATGAAAGGTAACTAAAATAGTAACACTTTCTCAGTGTGTGCTTAGTGAACTTTTCTGGAACAGAGGCAACAATTGAAACTACTTTTAAATAATGGTTCTTGAGCTTTTGAAATGAACCTGTTATATTACTTCTTTTTTTAAGATTTTTTATTGATTTTTAGAGAGAGAAACATCAATATGATAGTAAAACATCAATCAGCTGCCTCCTGCATGCCCCCTCCCTGGGATCAAGCCCACAATCTGGGTATGTGCCCTGATCAAGAATTGAGCCAGCAACCTTTTGGTCCATAGGACAACACCCAACCAACTGAGCCACATTGGCCAGGGCTGACCTCTCCTTTTTCATAAACAATGTATTTTTTGTTGTTGCTGTTAATCCTTACCAGAGGATATTTCTTCCATTGATTTTTAGAGAGTGTGGAAGGGAGGGAGGGAATGAGGGAGGGAGAAGAGAGAGAGAGGAAGAGAGAGAGAGAGAAAAACAAACAAACAAACAAAAAACATCGCTGGGAGAGAAACATACCGATTGGTTGCCTCCTGCATGCGCCCTGACCCGGCCAGGGATCAAACCTACAACCCAAGTATGTGCCCTTGACTGGGAATTGAACACAAGACCCTTTAGTTCACAGACTAACGCTATAACCACTGAGCCCACATCAGCCAGGGCAACAATGTTTTATAACAAGATAAGTTTGTAAAAAAGTTACTGTATTAATTTAATTGTGATTGAAATTTTAATCAGTTATGTTTTCTTATTTTTAAAACTTACCCTTTTTTTCCAGAAGTATAGCTTTGAATTTTAAAAAAATGTTTTTCAAATATTATTAAAAAATAAAATAAAATGTAGATTTATTATCATTCAGCTATTACAAAGCCAACAGATCAGGAGAGGACTGCCACTGAGAAGACAGAAGCAGGAGGCAGGGCACACCATGCAGGGCCACTCAGGGAGGCACGAGGGTCAGTCAGGAGGCAGAGGGAGCCAGGGGGAAATGCAGGCAAGTACTTCTACTGTGGTTTCTGAAAGAAGGAATGGGCAAGGCAGGGTAAGCAGGCCTGTGTTGGGCTAGTTTGAATCATTTCAGCCTGCTTTGGGGCATAGGGGTGGCCTGTGGTGATCAGGACACATAGTAGCCCTGAGTGTGAGAGCCTGGTAATGGAGACTTGGTGGGTTTGTGGGTTCTGGATTCATTGATTTGCACATGAAAGATGCACTAACAGGTGGTCCTTCACTAACTCTAGGAATTAGCTAGGCCTGGGAGGGACAGGCCCTCTAGAGTCAGCCAGGACCTCGCTGTCAAAGCATCAGAAACCCAGGTTTCATAAAGCTTCTCATAGGCTGAGTACTCCCAGCCACCTGCTCACCCTCTCTCACCCTCATCCATAAAACATGATTCTTCACAAAACCTGCCCTTCATGGGTGGTACAAGACTCAGTGAGCTAATCCATATGTTTCTCAGCCCAGTACAGGGCACAGATTGAGACAAACAAATGCAGCCTCTGCAGTGACCCAGGGAGATGGACCATAGCTCAGAGAGGTTAGGGCTCTGGCCGAGGTCACTCGGCAAGAACAATTAGACCAAATCCCTGGTGGCCTCTGGAATCCCTGAGAAGAGGTGCCAGGCTCCTCAGCAGCTACCTGTTCCCAAGGAGTCACTGAAGCCCAGGGACCAGGGTGGGCGATGCCTGCAGCCCAGAACTGCCTCTACCTGCCCTCCCTACCTAGGCTCCTGGAAGCCGACTCCAAATCAATGCGCTCCATGAATGGCTCCCGGCGAAACAGCGGCTCCTCTCTCGTATCCAGCTCCTCCGCCTCCTCTAACCTGAGCCACCTGGAGGAGGACACATGGATCCTATGGGGCCGAATCGCCAATGAGTGGGAAGAGTGGCGGCGTAGGAAGGAAAAGCTGCTTAAGGTGGCAGGGATGGTGGAGGTGGGTGGGCGGTGGGAGGGCCAACAGGGACAGACAGCAGGTCACACTCCGCCAGCACCAGGGCCCCAGCACGGGCAAAGGGACAGAAGTGGAGTTGTGCAGGCACTTTCAGGGGGCCTTGCCAGGTCAGGGGGAGGGAGGGAAGAGAGTGTGAATGGGGCTGGCCAGGTAAGTAGCTGTCACACTGACGTCTCAGGCACCTATTTGTTTCCTGCCCCACTATGTTCTGTGACAAACTGGGGGAAGTACATTATGCAGTGTGGTCTCCGTCTGCAGTGCAAAGGCTCTGCGGAGCTCTGAGCCACATGCATGGCATAGGCAAGCCCCATCTTGGGGGCTGGACTAGGTAACCCTGGGGAGACTGCACTGGGCCAGCATCCAGTCTGGCCTCCTGCTGCCCACCCCGTCCCCAGGAGCTTATCCACAAGGGCATCCCGCACCACTTCCGGGCCATTGTGTGGCAGCTCCTGTGCAGCGCTACAAACATGCCAGTCAAGAACCAGTACTCAGAGCTGCTCAAGATGTCCTCGCCATGCGAGAAGCTGATCCGCAGGGACATCGCCCGCACCTACCCAGAGCACGAGTTCTTCAAGGGCCAGGACAGCCTAGGCCAGGAGGTCCTCTTCAATGTCATGAAGGTGAGGCCCCCACTGCTGAGGACCCCCCAACCCTACATGAAGAAGCACTGTCCACATTGCCTGCTGTCACTGAGCCTGGCAGGACCCTGCCCTGACACTCACGTTCCCTTACAGGCATACTCTCTGGTGGACCGGGAGGTGGGCTACTGCCAGGGCAGTGCCTTCATCGTGGGCCTGCTCCTAATGCAGGTAGGTGGCCTGGGGCCAGGCTTATGGCAGGGCCCAGCCCATCTAAGCTCTGCTTCCAGGAGGTGGACAAAAGCAGAATGTAACCCTCTATCCAGTGTTCTACTGTCAGAGCCTACCCCTGCGTCCAACTGTGACCTCTGACAGTCCCCAGGCCGAGCCCCCAGTGGGTGAACACAGAGGGGCTGACTGCCTGTTATGTCCACTGTACTGTCCAAGGTCTAGAGGGGCAGGCCGTCCTACTCAGTCACCTCCCAGGGTTGGACAGGGAATTCCAACAGGGAGCTTAAGTTAGCCAGTGTGGAGTTTATGGGGCTGGGGTTTTGTCCAGAGAATTCAGCAGGCTTTGGAAGAGGAGAACAGAGACACTGAGAGTGGACCAGTTGGTGTCCCAACCATGGGCTCTGGAGGTGGCCAGACCTGGGGATCAAGTACCTGCCAGGTGGCCTTTGGTAGGTGACTTCAGCCTCAGGAGATTTTCCATCAGTAAACAAGAGTGACCAGAGGTTCATTGTGAGAGTTCAGACAACCCACACAGTCCACGTTCATTAAACTTAAATAGAGCAGAAACAGGCCTAGCACAGTAGTCCAGGTCCAAAGGAAGAGCAGTAAGTGTCCCCTTCCTACCCTGCCCACACTCAGCCCCCTGCCCACCTGCCCATCCCTCAGATGCCGGAGGAAGAGGCTTTCTGTGTGTTTGTGCGGCTGATGCAGGAGTATCGCCTTCGGGAGCTCTTCAAGCCCAGCATGGCTGAGCTGGGGCTCTGCATCTACCAGTTTGAGTACATGCTGCAGGTGAGTGGGGCCGGGGTGGCCCATCACCACCCACTCCTCTGCAGCCCACAGCCATCCCAGTGGGTCTATTTAACTGAAAATTCCAGGGCTGAGAAATCATATCCAGAGGTCCCAGCTCAGAAAAGGGCTCTAGTCCCCAGGGAGCCATGTGGCATTGCCCCCAAGCACACTTCCAGGGATAGGACAGAGCCAGGCATTTATAGTGGGGGCTCCTGAGAGCTCTGGGCTTCCAGAATCCAAGGGCAGAGGGGTCAAGGTGTCTTTTGCCAGACACACCCATAACGCCCTCACTGTCTGCTCCTATCGTGGTATGGCAGAAGGAGGGAAAGTGTTGTCTGCCTGCCTTTGATGATTACAGGAGAGCCACAGACCTTTCTGTTTATAAATAGCAGTCCCCACAGGGCACAGGGGCCACTCTTGGCTGGCAGACAATTTCCCTGTGCATGCAAGGGAAGAACACACACACACACACACACACACGGCCTGCTCCAGAAGTCTGTCACAGATGGGGCTGTGAAACTGCACAGCAGTTGGGGATGAGAGTTGAAGGGGGAATGGGAGGTAGGCCCTGGGATAAGCCTGGTCATAAAAGCCCCATTCCTCAGGCCTGGAAAACTGGGAGGTGCTGTTGGTCAAGGGGACCTGGTAGTGCCAACAAGCAAGGGGCCAGGGCCTGCAGAGAAGAAGTGGCCCTGCCCAGGCTGGGTAGCTGAGAGCCCCTACAGCAAAGTAGCCGGACAGTGCCAGGGAGCTCCTGGGCCTGCAAGGAAGCCTAGGGCAGGTTGCAGGAAGGGGCACCAGGGTCCCTTCTTCTAGTAAATGACATCAAGGGGGTCCTAATACTTTCTCCAGCTTATTTCCCCAGTTTCTGTCACTTTTCAGCAATCTGAAGTTCAGGCCAATCAGACCGGCATCCCCTGAGCATTGCTGGGCACAGAGCATCATGAGGGGGCAGTGGGGAGACACAACGACTGGCAAGTCAAGGAATACAGGTTGACCAGCAGTAGGTTTACACTGCACCCCACCGCTCACTCTCTGAGTGACCTTGAGCAGTTAAGTAAACCCACCCCAAGCCTCAGAAGCTCCCTGTCAGGCTGATCATGAGGATCCTATGAGCAGAAAGGAGAGCAGATGGGCCACTTCCTACCCAAGGTGCACATCCTGCACCCATGAGCTGCTGCTATTCCTGTCACCCCTGCCTGTGTCCCCACCTCATGCTACTCAGAGTTCTAGAATATTTCAGCCTCACCCAAACACAGTGCTGAGGGCACACAGAGGAAGGGACCCAAGGGCAGACCAGAGAAGGCTTCCTGGAGGCAGAAGCACCAAGACTCAGCACTTCCAGGTGGAAGGAGCCTGTGGGCACGGACAGCTGTGCCTGGTGCCCACAGGCTCCTTCTCAGTGCTGGGCCTCCTCCTCTGACCCCTCAGGAGCAGCTCCCGGACCTGAACACTCACTTCCGCTCCCAGAGCTTCCACACGTCCATGTACGCCTCGTCCTGGTTCCTCACACTCTTCCTGACCACCTTCCCACTGCCTGTCGCCACTCGTGTCTTCGACATTTTCATGTATGAGGTCAGGACCCCTTCACCCTCTTGCTCTCCCAAAGGCCCCACACTGGAAATAAATTTCAACCAAGGAAGGGCCAGGGTTTGGGGAGGGATCGGAGAAGCACTGTCCCCACTGCCTTTGCAGGGCCTGGAGATCGTGTTCCGGGTAGGCCTCGCCCTGCTGCAGGTGAACCAGGTGGAGCTGATGCAGCTGGACATGGAGGGCATGTCCCAGGTGGGCCAGGGGCCCAGGAAGGGTGGGATTGCCCCCCACCCAGGGTAGGTGAAGTGAGACACTTGGAGTTCCTGAGCAGCCTGATCCTTTTCTATCCCCTGTGACCCCTGAGGCCTCCCTGGAGAACCAGGCTGGGCACTAAGGAGCTCCAGACACAGTCCAGGGCCAGCAGCCTGGCAGTGGGGAGAGAGGAAGGCCCAGGCCCTGGCTCTGGGAGGTTTCACCCCCCTTTCTCTTGCCCCCAGCTTTGTGTCCCCCAAAATCTTTGTGGTAAATAATTATACTAGCCAAACCACGGGGCCTTGGGTGTGGTTTTTGGCCTAGGAACTGGGCCAGGTGAGGACAAAGGAGGGAGTGAGGGGTCTGGGCAGCCTCACTGGCCTACGCAACCCTGGCTTCCCTGCTTCTCACTGCCATGTCCCCACCATGCAGGCTCCTGCCCCCTCCCAGTGTCCTCCAGCTGGTACTTCAGAGAAGAATACACAAAGGCCACAGTTGTGTCCACAGACACGAATGTTCATTGTCTGCAGCTGCTAGAGCGGGCCAGCTGGGCTGGGGAGCAGGAGCCAGCCTGGCCCCAACCAACAGCAAGCTGTGTCCACCAGTGGCTCACACTTAACCCTTTGTAGAGGCCCCAGGCGAGCAGACCCACTGAGGGGTCTTCCCTCCAGGTTGCTCCTGGCTGTCCCAATTCTACAACCTTTTCAGTATCCTCTCACCGCCCTGGGTGCAGCACGCCTCCCCCTTCCTCTAAGAAGGTGCCCTGTGCTCAGACCCTACCTCAACCCACCCCCAGGCCTTTGCTACTGCAGCCTGCTTTCCCCCTGCAAACTGAAGTCCTGGCTTCTGGCAGCTTCTCTCCAGATGCCTTCTCACACTCACTCACTTGCTCCACAATGATAGAGCACCCACAACAGGCAGGCCAGGCACTGCACTGGGTACATGGTGACATCCCAGGCAGATCTGCTTCTGCCCTCCCTCCCTCCTCCAGGGCAATGGGCACAGCAGACACAGAGGGGCTCAGGCGCCCCCCTACACCCTTATAATCAGTGACTGCCTATGTTTCCACAGTACTTCCAAAAGGTGATACCCCATCAGTTCGACAGCTGCCCGGATAAGCTGATCCTCAAGGCTTACCAGGTCAAGTACAACCCTAAGAAGATGAAGAGGTCAGTACCCAGCAGCCAGGGCGCTGGTGGAAAAGAGGTCCCTGGTGGTGGGATAGTGACCATGTCAGCCTTCTCCTCTGCAGGCTCGAGAAGGAATACGCAGCCATGAAGAGTAAAGAGATGGAGGAGCAGATCGAAATCAAAGTGAGTTCCTAGGGAAGGGGGACAGGGACCAGAGGACCTTGGGAGCTTCCATCCCAAGGCAAGAAGTGGGTGGCCACTAGGGGGCAGCCCTGCCCAGCACATGAGGCACACCAGACTGCCCTTAGGCTCTGAGGGGTTGACTCTCTGTGTGAGCGAGGGCTCACCTGGAGCTGGGGACACAGAGGTGGACAAGGTGGACCTGGCCTTGTGGGGCTCCCATTGCAGTGAGAAGACAGTCAGTGAACCAATAAGTATAGAGTATGAACTCTAGAAAGAACTCTGGATAAAATGTGTAGGGGAGATTGCTGCAGGTCCAGGGAACTGAGTGCTAAAGGCCCGAGCAGCCGCAGGCCTGAGGGGCTAGAGGAACATCAGGAATGCTGCCCTCAGTGGTGGGAGCCCCGAGGTCAGGAGTAAGGGGGAGCCCCGAGGTAGGCGGGGGCCATATGCAGGGAGGATAGGCCAGTGTACTGCACTCATGGCCCCTGGCTCCCCCTGGTGCCTGGCCAGCCAGCCCTACTAGGTTTGAGGGTACAATTCTGTCACCAACTCCAATATGTGGGGTTTTTCCCCACACCACCAAGCAATTTTCCAACGCCAGCTGAGTGTCCTACAATTCAGCTCAATTCTGACACCATCTACTTGGAGATGATGTCAGATCCCACAGGTTAAGGGCATTGTCTCACAAGACTGCCACTCCCCCCTTCAGAAGCCAGTCTCAAGTCCAGATTGTCACCTATGCTTCTGGCCAGCTGGCTGTAGATCACAGGTTCCTGTGATTCCCTTCTCGGGTTCGATTAATTTGCTAGAGTGGCTCACAGAATTCAGAGAAATATTACTACTAGATCACTGGTGTGTTATAAAGGATTTAGCTCAAGAACAGCCAGATGGAAGAGATGCATAGGAACAGGTTTGGGGACAGGGCACAGAGCTCCCTGCCCTTTCCATTTATACCACACTCACAGAACCTCCAACCATTCATCAACCTGGAAGCTCTCCAAACCCCATACTGTGGGGTTTTATGGGATTTCATTACACAGGCATGATTGATTACATCATTTGCCATCAGCAATTTATTCAACCTCCAACCCATCTCCTCTCCCTAGAGATCTGGGGATAGGACTGAAAGTTCCAACCCTCTGACACATGGTTGGATTCCCTGGGAACCAGGCCCCATCCTTAGGTGGCCAAGGGACTTTCCAAAAGTCCTCATTAACATAACAAAAGACACCTTTATCTCTCTCCTCACTTAGAAAATTCCCAGGGTTTTAGGTGCTCTGTGCCAGGACTGGATGGAAGACCAAATATATATTTTTTACTGTAAATCATATCACAAGGGATTTTTTGAGTGTGCAGAGTCTCTGAACCCAGTCTTCCCTCCTCTCCCCCTGCTTTCATCCCTCCACACGTGATTTTAGTTATTCATTCAACAAAAATTTATTGAGCACCTACTTTGTGCCAATCACAGCAGAGAGTAAGGGTCCTCAGTCCAGTGGGGGTAGGGGGACAGACATAAACACAAACCCCAACACAGCCTGGCTCTGTCCTCTGTCTATAGACTGGCAGACTACCACAGTGGCTGAGACTGGAGTCCCGCAGACCAGGGTTCAAATGCCAGCTCTACCACAGACCAGCTGTGTGACCCGGGAAAATGAATTCACCTCTCTGATCCTCTCAGTGTCCCCTTCTGCAAAATGGAAATGATACTTACTCTACTGTTCAATTTATTATTATCACCACCACCACCACTATCATCATCATCCCCTCATCCCCACGTCCTCTAGAAAGGCAAAGGCAAAACCTAGATTAGAATCCAATCCTGCCACCCATTCCTGAGTGGGAAAGAGAGCATCATTGTTCTGTCCCTGGTTGTAGGATTTCCAGAAATAGTTTTGTGTCTTGAATTTTTTAGCATCTCTGTTTCTCAGAAGTGGCACCCTGACTGATGCACTAGTCCAAGCTGTGTGTGTGTGTGTGTGTGTGTGTGGTGTCTTACTCATACACAGACAAGGCCTGCTCCCATCTGGTGACTATGAGGGCTCAGCATTAGGTAGGTATACAGCAGACCATTGGACCACATGTTTAGCTTGGAAATTTCCCATGAGAGGAGGTCTTAAAGGATTCAGGCAGGTGCCTTCTCCCTTAGCCCTGTCCTTTGCTCTTTCACCTTTAGCCTGTTTTAAAATATACCTGGGATTTGTTTTAACTGCCTTTGAAAGAAGAGTTTATTACAGTTTCAAAGAGGCAGGGCACACCAGGCCATGAAAGGCCATATGGGGAAGCATCAGGGTTGGTCAGGAGGCAGAGAGATCAAGGGGAAAAATAGGGGCCAGAGCCTTTATTGTGGTTTTCAAGCAAAGGAATGGGCAAAGCAGGGTGGGCAAGTTTGAGCAAGTTTAGGATTGACTAGTTTGAATAATTTCAGGGGCTATAGGAGTGGTCCCTAGTTGTCCTGTGACGATTTCGGAAGGGAAATATTGGCTTATATGTAAGAATTAGATAAGAAAGGTGTGTGTGTGGAGGGGTGGGGAGGGGGCACACTGGATTGGCTGGTTTGCCTTGTCAAGCAGGTTGTTTACTATCTGTAGGAATTAGCTAAATCCTGGGAGGGGCAGTCTCTCCAGGATTAGCAAGGCCTAAGGATGTCCAAGCATCAAAAATACAGAAAAAAATGTTAAGCTCTTACTAGTACATAGCCCCCATAGTTTTTGCACACTCTCTCTTTCTCTCTCTCTCTCTCTCTCTCTCTCTCACACACACACACACACACACACACACACACACACACACTTTCCCTTTGGAGTAAGCAGGAGAGAGGTGAGTTGTCTGCAGGGCACATCCAGCTCCTCCAAGGATGGCTGTGTTTATGCCAAAGAAATCCAAGGTCATGGGTCAAGACTCTGGGTTCCAGATCACTTTGAGGGACAGAGACCTACCCTCTGAAACAGCTTGGGAGGCTCAGGCAAAACACTGCCTCATTCCAACTCAGTTTCCCCATCCATGATATAAATCAAAGGTCATCAATCAAGTCTGCCATCTCTCCGAGCAGTTGCTTCATAGGAAAACCTAAAACCACAAATATCTAACCAGAATCCACGAGCACAGGATGGAAGACAAAAGCAAGGGAGATGGCCTCCCCCTGGCTGGGGGGAAGTAACGATTGTTGGGCACAGCTAGCTGGCTGTCAGTGGGTCACAAAGATGTAGTTGTCGAGCCGAAGGAAGTATGGGTGTTCAGCAAGACCTCCTACCCTGGACCCAAATTCTGAGAGGAGTTTGTCAACTGAAAATTGAACTCTGAGGCTGGAGGCAAAGCAGTGAAGGATGGGGCCTGTCTGATAGCAGCTTCCCCCAAAATGCAGAAGCCTTTGCCCTGTGGGAAGTGGACAGGCCCGAGCATGGAGTACTAGCAGATTCCCAAGGAGGGCATGGGTACAGACCACCCACCTCACACACATTGTGTATCCACAAAAGTGCTCGCATTATCTTTACTGAACTAAGGCTTATTTAAAAAAAAAAAATCTACCCAACTGGCATGGCTCGGTGGTTGAGCATCGACCTATGAACCAGGAGGTTACAGTTCGATTCCCAGTTAGGGCACATGCCCAGGTTGTGGACTCAATCCCCATTGCGGGAGCGTGCAGGAGACAGCCAATCAGTGATTCTCTCTCATCATTGATGTTTCTATCTCTCTCTCCCTCTCCCTTTCTGAATCAGTAAAAATATTTTTTTTTTAATTTAATGGGCCGTTCTGAATGGGAATTGGCCCTGTTTTTTGGGATCACTGACCCAAAATGTAAGCCTCTAGCTCTGTCCTTCTGGGAGTTGGCCTGGCCCCTTGGGGGATAGACCTCTCTATAGAAGTGGAAGGCAGGATCTGATATGCTCTCCCCTCTCCCCATATAGAGGCTTCGAACAGAGAACCGACTTCTGAAACAGCGGATTGAGACCCTGGAGAAGGTGAGGGGTATGCCACCTGCCTGTCAGACACTGAACTCTCCAGGCCCCAAGCAGGACCCAACAGCCAGAGGGCCAGCAAGACTCCTGCCCTAGGCCTTACCATGAACCCCACTGATATTTGAGCTGCCATATAATCTGACCGTGGGGAAAATTAGCTTGGAGCTGGAGGTTGAGTGATAACCTAGTTAACTGCAATCACCACAACCCATTTGTGTCCGGTGCCCTCCAGGGCTGTCTGGGTGGAGAGGAGGAGGTAGAACTGCTACTTTGACTGAGGTGCCTGGAACTGGGCCACAGGACACCCCACCCTGTAATTTGAAAGCCTTGCCCTCAAAAGGAAGGAGATGGGAGTGAAGGAATAGGGGGTGGTCTTGCCACTGGATCCATGATGGGGTGCCACAACCTTGACCATGGCCCCAATCTTGTTTTAAAAATGAAAGTAGAGTTGGAGGCCCCTCTTTCTGCTCTACCCTCATTTTCACTTGACCCTGCATGGACCACAGGTTGTCCACAGGATTTTATTGCCCTTGCCCCAAAGCCTCCATTCTTATTCAGTCTCCAAATCAAAGTTGCTGAGTTTTCCCAGTTGACCTTAGTTGGCCCCAGTCGTGAGCCCCCCTGACTTCCCACTCAGCTCACACACAGACCCCTCTCCTGGAAGGAACTGGCTCTGGCATTGGTCTTCCTCCAGGTCCTGTCCTGCTGGTTTTCTGGTTCTCAGGTTTCACTCCTGTCTCCCCTGCTTCTAGACATAGTTCACTGCGTTAGTGACAAGTGGTTCTTGTCTGTCTCTCCCCCTCTCCTGTCCCCGCACCTTCTGCTCTGCCTCCTCCCCCTGTTGCTGGGAACTCCCTCGCCGGGTAGGAGAGCGCTGCTCTGGCTGATAGGTTAATCCAGGTACTGTAGCTTTTCTTCTGACTCTCCTGTTTCCTTCCTAGTCTCTACACATGACAGCCAATACTGCCTCCTCCCTGGTTGCTGCCATGGGTGAGGGGGACAGGCCTGGCACCATGCATGGGGGTGGCTGGGGACTGCTTCTCAGGAAAACAGAGGTTCCATCTAGAGGAGGTGGCTGTGCGTGTGCAAACGTGGCAACCGAGGGTATGTCTCTGTGTCTGTGAGTGTGTGTACACACACAGGGACACAACGTTTCCTCCCTCAGGGGATACGGTGGGGACCAGGAGGGCTCAGGGAGCCTGAGGGTGCATCAACAGCAGGCCTTAGTGTGTGCATTGCTGAGCCTCCCCCACCCACACATACACACCATCCCTTCTGGCCTTTCACACTCTCTGCTTCCACCTGCAAGGCCTGCCATCTTCTCTCATTCACCTGCTTCTGCTGCTGCCTTATCTTGAATGGCTTTATCTGGAAGCTTCTGCCTGCCACCTGGTGGCTCCAAGCATGGAATGGGGGGACCCACATTGGATGGGGTGAGGGGATGAGGCTGGGTGGGGTAGATCAGAAATGAGGAAGGCCAGGGGAGAGGCATATTCCACCTCCCAACCCTGCCCTGGGGAGCCAGGCCTCAGCTGCCCCACCCTCACCAGCAGAGCCTGAGCTCTGGTGTGCCATCACCCTGGATAAGGACTTGCTTCTCCTCCCCTGGGACAGAGGTCAACAGCCAGAAGTCAGGAGGGAACAAAGCTGTCAGCAGCCCCAGCCTGTGGCCCCGTCTTCATTTAAGCGCCACAGAGCTTGGACCCCGGGTTGAGAACCGGTGTCTTCCTCCAGGCTCCTCCTGGTGTCCTGTACCTGCCTACCCCTCACCCTTGTTCCGAGGTCCCGTGGGCGCCCCATCCCAGACTCTGAGTGAAGGAGGCCTCACCCCCTCTCCCACTACTCCTCTGCCCTCCTTGGGACTCACTCTAAGGTGGGCCTGAGGCAGGGCCTGGCGTGTGAGCAGAGGGTCATGCCCTATCCTCCATCGGCTCAGGGACAGGTGACACGGGCGCAGGAGGCCGAGGAAAATTATGTCATCAAGCGGGAGCTGGCGGTGGTGCGGCAGCAGTGCAGCTCAGCAGCAGAAGACCTGCAGAAAGCGCAGAGCACCATCCGGCAGCTGCAGGAGCAGCAGGTACCAGCAGGCCACCGTGGTGAGGCCACACTCCAACCCCCCGCTTGGGTGGGGAGAGCACCCAAAGCTCAGTGCATACTCTCCCCCAGCCCCACCCTCAGCAATCAACCCCTGACCCGAGGGAGAATTCTATGGTTTCCATGTTCCACCACCCTCGGGGATGCTTGGCAGGACCCTCTTCCTGGCACAGGCATTCAACCTTGACTGATGGGCCTGTGATTCCTTGGTGTCTCCCCAAGGTCTTCGGAGCTATTGGGCTTCCCCAGGGGTCAACCATGAAGGCTAGGAGCTAGGATGAGGGACAAGGGAGGGGGCTCCCTTCTCCAGTACCCAGGACTTTGCCCTCTCAGAGGAGATTCTGGTCTATGCCCACTACGCTGAACTGGCAGGGTTGGCATGAGTGGGCAGTGCAAGTCTGTTATGGGGTCTTGAACTCAGTGGTGGGAAGGGCTCACAGGCTAGAGCACTGTGAAAAGATCTGCAGAACCTTCCTTCAGATTTACCCAGCAGGCTTCTTCCTTATCTATTGACCTGCCAGCAGCTGCAGCCCCCAAGTTCAGAATGCACATGTGCACACATGCCCTGGACGGACAGAGAAAGATGCTGTAGGTTCCCTGGGCCCCTACACTACAATCCAGACCTGATCCCAACAAAGCCTGGCAGTGAAGTGGGCTCCCTGATTTGGAGAAACCTCATGTGTCAAGAAACAATGGGTGGAGAGAAGGAAGGGTAGTTCCCTGGGAGGACCTCTCACCCAGGCCTGGAGACCTTGGCTCAGGCTTTAGTTCAGGAATTTAAGTTGATTCTTTGTCCCTGGAGACAGGGACAGAGAGCTTCGCCATGTCTCACCTGTGTCCACCTCCCACCCCTCACCTGCCAGTGCTGTGGCCCCCAACTTGCTCTGAAGCAGCTGGGCCAATGGGGAAACTGGGGCTGGACTCATCCCACCACTGGCATGATGCCCTCTTTCAGGCTAAAGAGACACCTGCCACTCCTGAACTCTGTCCTTTGGGGGATGCAGAGATGGGTGAGGCAGGTAGTGCCATAGACACTGGCCCTTGAGCACCATCTCCTTGGGTGTGAGCAGAGGGTCAGCCTGGCAGAGCTGGAGCTTGGTATGAGGCCTGAAGCCCGCCTGGGCCAAGGGAGGGCTACTGGCACCCATGGATGTCAGAGGCCCAAAGTGGTCGAGGGCAGCAAGCAGGCCTGGGTAGCTGGACAGGAGGCCAGTGGAGGGGGGGTGGTAGTAGAGGGCAGGGGCCACCTTCCAGAGAATGCCCTGCCAGGCCACCAGGGCAGTGAAATGGGGACCCAGCAAACTCTTTTCCCATCCTTTCCTGTTTAGATATGGGGGAAGAGAGAGGAGAGAGGTGAAGAAAGAGGGCCCAGAGTGCCATAGCCCTGAGCCCCACCCTCTCCACACCCACCCAGCAATCCTGGGAACCAGCCATTAGCATCCCTCAGGGAGTATCCTGAGACCATGGAAGGTCCCCTTCAGTAGGTTCCCTCTGTGTGACTTTCTCAGGAAGGAGACTAGGCCTGGTCATCAGGGTCCCCATGATGGGGTTCCACTCTCTTCCCATGAAGGCAGAAGGCACAGGAAGAGGATCTAGTTTTTCTCCTGATTCCTCACTCTATCCACAGCCTGAGCCCCCTCCCAGCCCTGGGGCTCTGGAGAGTAGGAGGCAAGTCCTGAGCTCACAGCCAGCTGGCAGGAAGGCTGCCCACCCTCCAGCTGCAGCCTGGGAACTGATGCAGCTCTCCATCTGTCCCCAGGGTAACCCTCGCCTCACCGAGGACTTTGTGGCCCACCTGGAGACTGAGCTGGAACAGTCAAGGCTGCGGGAGATGGAGACATTAGGGGCCCTACGGGAGATGCAGGACAAGGTTCTAGACATGGAGAAGGTGCAGCTGGGCAATCCGGTGTTTGGGAGACTCTGGGGGAGGGAAGGTGGGGTGATGCATGCACTTAAGGAGGTACATAATCAGTCCTGAACAAGGAAAAGGGGCTGCCAGGGGAACCATGGGGGAGTGTCCTGGGATCAGATCCTCCTGCTTCAGCAGTCCCAAGGAACCCAAGATTGCTTCCCCCATGGTCTCTACGGGAGGGTCTGGGCAGATAGGAAGTGGGCCGCTCACCCCTAGACCCTTCCCAAGTCCTAGACCTTCCCAAGTCCTAGGGCCCCTACTCCCTCTTCCCCCACAGAGAGACCACCCCCCCATCAGGGCCCGCCCCACCCTTCATGCCCCAGGTAGAGAAAGCAGTGTTCTGGCTTTCATGGGCTTCCTGGCTTTCATGCCCCCCCCCCCCCCGCCTCAGGCCCTAGGTTCCAGGAGGGAAGGAGGGGAAGGGAAATCCCAGGTCCAGCAGAGCTGCTCACCCCACCTGAACCTCCATGGAGACTTCACCAAGGGGGAAATTAGGGGCCACCCTCTCCTGCCTGCAGCTCTGAAGGGGACCCCAGGCCTCCTAGGTCAATCCCCAGCTGCTTTCACACTGACTATTGACTCATCTTCTACAAAGCTGCCAAAAGAGGGCAGGCAGCAGGACATAGTCACTCTGGCAGAAGCCGCCCACCCTCCTGGAGCCTGCACTATTCTGGGTGCCTCCCAGGTGTCTCTGCCACAGCCCTCAATCCCCATCAGCTATCCAAGAGCTGGGCTTCCCTCCACATTGGAGGGAAATGTGTACCCAGTAGATCCTGGCTCTCTCCCCTGATTCTGACCCAAACAAGGGTCAGTGAGGTCCCAGGGTGGCAAACTGGATTTTGTTCCCAAAGGCCAGAACACAAATCTCTCATCCCTGACCCTTGGGAAGCCAAGACAGGGCCTGGGCTGACCCTAAGTGGGTTCCCAGGAAGAGGGGCTACCTGGGAAGGAGTGGGTACAAGGTGCCAAAGTCCAGTCTTCTCAGCTTCTGCTGGGGCAGGTCCTGGCTCTGGCCCCATATGAGTGGATCTGAGATTCCCAGGTGGGAAGGCACTGGTCCCAAACCCAGCCTGCCTGGTGTCCTCAGCAGTAAGATTTATGGTGTTGCCCTAAGCCAGTCCTGTGAGAGAGCAGGTACTGTTTTTATAGCCATTTTATTTTTATTGATTTTAGAGAGAGGAAGGTGGGGAGAGAGAGAGACAAACATTGACATAAGAGAAAAATCTATGGGGGGTGCAGGGTGGAGGGAGTCAATGAGGAAAAAAGGGGGAACATCTGTAATACTTTTAAAAAAGAAAGATCAATCTGTTGCATGTACCCCAACTGGGGTTGGATCTGCAACCTGGGTATGTGCCCTGACCAGGAATCGAACCCACCACCTTTTGGTGTACGGGATGATGCTCCAACCAAATGAGCCACACCGGCCAGGGCTCTGGCAGCCATTTTATAGGTGAGAATCTACAGCTGGGGCCACAGAGGTGGATCTGCTCCCATGGGCCTCTCCCAGCTGGGCTACCCCAAGTAGAGCCCACAAGAAATAAGGGAAGGCATCTTGGCCTACAGGAAGGGGATGCATGGCTACCAGCTGCCCTAGGCTCTGACCGCTCCTGTCCCCCTCAGAGGAACAGTTCACTGCCTGATGAGAACAACGTGGCCCAGCTACAGGAGGAGCTCAAGGCACTCAAGGTGCGGGAGGGCCAGGCGGTGGCCTCTGCAAGGGAGCTGAAGCTGCAGCTGCAGGAGCTCTCGGACACCTGGCAGGTGAGGCCCTCGCCAATGGACAGGAAACTGCGGTGCAACCAGGAGGTCGGCCACCCTCCATGCTTAAGAGCCCCTGGCTGACCACCGGCCTCTCTTGGCAGGCCCATCTGTCCCGCGGGGGCCGCTGGAAGGAGTCCCCACGGAAGCTGGTCCTGGGCGAGCTGCAGGATGAACTGATGAGCGTGCGTCTGCGCGAGGCCCAGGCTCTGGCCGAGGGCCGAGAGCTGCGGCAGCGCGTGGTGGAACTCGAGACGCAGGTGGGCCGCAGTCGCCCTCTCAGGGTCTTGGTGTTCATGGCTGCTTCCTTGGGTAGGCCATAACACCCGCCCGCACGTCCTCTCTCCTCCAGGACCACATCCACCGCAACCTTCTGAACCGCGTAGAGGCAGAACGCGCGGCTTTGCAAGAGAAGCTGCAGTATTTGGCTGCGCAGAACAAGGGGCTGCAGACACAGCTGAGTGAAAGCCGCCGCAAGCAGGCAGAGGCCGAGTGCAAGGTGCCCCCTTCCCGGATCCCGCCTTCCCACCCCAACCCCTGCCTGCCTCGCTCTTGACCAGCCTTCTTCCCACTGCCCTCAGAGCAAGGAGGAGGTGATGGCGGTGCGCCTGCGAGAGGCAGACAGCATGGCTGCGGTGGCTGAAATGCGGCAACGCATTGCAGAGCTGGAGATCCAGGTGAGGGGGTCGGATGGGGTGAAGCGTGCTCCAGGCCTGCATGCTGCCTGACCCCCTGTAACCTGGCTCACCCACAGAGGGAGGAGGGCCGCATCCAGGGCCAGCTGAACCACTCAGACTCTTCGCAGTACATCCGGGAGCTCAAGGACCAGATAGAGGAGCTGAAGGCCGAGGTGAGCGCGGGAGAGACCTGAGAGCCCTGCGTGTCCTCATTTGGTGTCCAGCCAGAAGTCAGTGTCTGCCTGGGGTGCGGGAGAGGAGGGTGCCCAGGGACAGGTGGGTCCACACATCCAGTGTGCCGTCCGGCCCCAGGTGCGACTACTGAAGGGCCCGCCATCCTTCGAGGACCCACTGGCCTTTGACGGGCTACATCTGGCACGGCACCTGGATGAGGACTCGCTGCCATCGTCCGATGAGGAGCTGCTGGGCATGGGCGTGGGCGCAGCACTGCAGGATACACTCTACCCGCTGTCCCCCCAAGACGCTCGCTTCCTCCGCAGTCTGGAGCGGCCAGCCAAGGACAGTGAAGGCAGCTCAGACAGCGATGCCGAGGAGCTGGCCACACCCTACAGTCAGGGCCTGGACAACTGAGGCCCTGCCCTTGAGCCTAGAGCTGGGGGTGGGGGAGGGCCTCCAGGGCCACACTTAAACTCCAAACCCACTCCAAGGGACACAGCAGGATGCAGAGGGTAGAGCTGGAGCCTGAGGATCCTCAGGGTACCTGTCATACCCACCCTCCCCAGCACTGTTTAACCATCTTGGTCAGTACCCCTCTAGGCCCAGTTGCCTGGAAATCTGCCCCTCTTAACAGAAAGGGCACGAGAGGACACAGAGGTCCCAGGACTGGTAACAGAAAGCTCCCTCCTCCCACCAGGCCTGGGTAACAGGAGGGTAGCCCTGCTGGGAAGGGCCAACGAACTGGAGGAGGCCTGAGGAAGAAGGGGCCACTCTGGGCTGGATGTCAACACCTCACAATGTTCCTGGGGATCCCTGGCTTCCAGGGACAGATGGCCAAGCTGGGCTTTCCTGCCTGATGCAGGCCTCATGGCCCAAGCAGAAACCAAAGTCCCCCTTACTGTGTACAGGGTCACCTGGGGTGTGCACAGCCAGCAGGAACCAGGCCAGGGCAGTGCCTGTCCCTGCTTCTTGGGAGGAGGGGGGGCCAGAGCAGCTGAAAGGATGTCATGAGACCCAGGTCCCCAGTGCCCCTACATCTTCCTCTGTGAAGCACCTCATCACCCCATCTTGACCAGTGATGGAAGGGCTCCGCCACCCAGGCTAGCCTCCTCTCCAGGGGTCCCCAGCCTCCACTTCCCTTCCTTCCCTCGGTTCCCCAGCCCCACCCTTTTGCCAGGTCCAAGCCCCAGGAGAGGAGGCTGCCCAGAGGAGTGGCATCCCCATGCCTCCTTCCTCATGATGGTCCTGTGGTCTCTGTAGTCAGAGCCAAGAATGGTGCCAAAGTCCAACAATGCTCCCCCAGACCCCTTCCCTTTCAGGGCCTTTTGACTCTTGGGGCTCCTGGAGCCTGAAGCGGCCTCCTCGGCACCTCCTGGAATGGGGATTCATGCTCAGCCCCCCACCCCTTCCCACTTGCCCACTGCTCAGTGTTACAAAGCCTGGGGACCAGGGTGGGCATCGCGGGGCTCTTCCATGTGCCTCTCACACTGCCCACCACCATTTTGCACACTGCCTGTTCACACTCCACATGTCGCCCAGGAGGGGATAGAAAATAAAGTGTATTTACACAGTCACAAACAAGGGACACTGAGTAAGGGGACTGCAAACAGCCTCAGGGCCACAACCCCTTGCCCAGCTTAAAACAATAGGGAGAGGAGCAGGCTATCCTTGTCTTGGGAGCCTCCCAGAAAGGTAGAGGTTAAGCAGGATAGCAGGGGTGCCAAAGAAGTGCCCGGGTTGGGGTGCAGCATGAAGAGGGAGGAGCACTTGCTGGTTCAGAGTGAGCAACTGTGTGAGGTTTGGGAGAGATGGTTAGTATGGGGAACAGGTCACAGAGGACTTGGATGTCAGGCTCACAGATGGACCCTGATAGCCTGGTGTTTTCACAAGGGTGGCTCGAGATGGTGAGGACAAGGGGCGTGATTTCCCTCCTGGGTGACCCAGCTTGGGCCTCTCCTGAGAGATGTGGAGCAATTTGGGGTCTCGGAATCTGATTGTGTTCATTAAGCCATAATTCCTGAGGCCCTCCTGGTGCTCTGCCCCGTGTCTGGCTCTAAGGGATCCCCAGGGTAGTGGAGGTGACAAACACTGGTGTGGGAGAAGGAGTTGAGTCTTCATGCTGATGTGACAAGTGATCAGTAGATGAATGAGCAGGAAGATCAGGGAAGGCTTACTGGAGGAGGGTGCCACAGTCAGTTCCAAGGGCAAAAGCATAAAGGCAAGACATGGCAGGGACCAGCAGGAAGCACATGATAGAAGGAACAGGAGAGAGTTGGCATGGCCAGACCAGGAAGTGGTTCCTCTAGTCAGAAGCCAAGTTTGCTATTTGAACTGAGGGCAGTGGGGAGCTATGGAGAGCTTAGGTGGGGGGAACACCATCAGATGGACCATAGTGTTGGGGATCAGTGAGGAGGCCAGGACAAAGACCAAACTGAGCCGGGCAGTGGGGAGAGAGAATATGAGCTCCCCTCAAGGAACCGGGACTGCTGAGGAGCAGGGCAGGATGCTGTGGTGCACTGGGACAGCCAAGTTCCGTATATTGTCCCATCACTTAACAAACAGCTCCTGTGGGCCCATGCACCATTCCCATCATACAGAATTAACACTGAGACCCCCAACAGTTACTCTGTTTCCTGCTTTCATAGGGTAATTCCACCCCACTGGCTTCCCAGGTGGGGTAGGGCCCCAGGGGAAACTGAGGTTCTGCCCTGCTCCCTGTTGGGGCTGGCCCTGAGGTCCTGACTACACAGTAGGTACGGAGCCAGCACCCACCTTTGGGTTTGTCTCACATTCTGGAAGGAAAGACTCATGGGTCCTTGCCAGGGCTCAGCTAGAAAGAGAACCTCTGTTTTGCCATGGAACTCGACCTTGAATGAGGGAGCATGCTATGTGCCCTCAAACAACACGTTGACTCTCAGGGGTGGAGGTGGTAGGGTCCTGCTGGGATAGGGCCAATTTTCTCCTCAGACCCTAGGTTGGGAGGTCACCATATCTGGGGTGGGGACAGGCAGAACTGGGGTGATCTGTGTCTGACAAGAGCCTGGCTGCAGGGTGGACTATGAGGACTGGGTCTATGGGCACAAAAAGGGCTGAGGACCCAACAAGGAGTCCTGCTCTGTCCTTTTACCTGCCCTGGGGATTGTGGTCCTTGCCAGGCCTCCATCATTCTTGGTGTGAAGCAGGAAACCCTTATGGAGGGAGGAAAGGCCTGGGAGTGTTTCCTGAAGGAGCACTTAGGAAGAAGGGCCTGGGCTGGGGCTTGAGGAATCCAGGGTCAGGGTGACTGGGTTATGGGAGGAAGGGCAAGGAATTATGATCAGGGGAGACAAATGAAGATATTGGTTGGCTCTAGTGAGGACCCCTGGTTTGGGGAGAATACCCTAAGTTGGGAGGATAAGTGAGGTCCCTGGGTTGTGAGCCATAAAGGGGCATGGTGAAGACTCCCTGGTCTCCCACCCAGCGTTGGAAGAGGTTGCCCTACAGGCACCTCCCCATACTGTCCCAGGAGGGTCCTGCTCCCTATAGGAGGTCCTTTTGAGGAGGCCCCTGCACTGCAGCCTCCTGGGTAAGCAGAGGGCAGTGTGCCCTGAGTAGGGAGTCCCCAGAGGAAACAGAGCAATCCCCCTCTCCCTCCAACACACCGGGGCATGCAAGGTAAGGGGGTGCACACTGGGAGGAGGGGCCCTCCGACCCCCAGCGAGCCCCTCCCACGTGTCTTCCCCCTCTCCCAGGAGTTGCTGGCTCCCCTGGCCCAGTGTGGGAAGAGCTTGAACGCACTAGTTCACCCATTGGGACCCTCCTAAAGTTTCCAACAGAAGTCAGACGGGGAAAAAACCTACATTCACGCACATGGGTGGGTGTGTTTTTTTTTAGCCACGTCTGGTTATCGCCGATATCAAGGAAGGTTTCGTTTTTGCCCTTTCTCTTTCCCCCCCCCCCCCCCCCCCCGCAGCGACAAAGACGCACAGGCGGCAGTGTCCCGGCTTTATTGCAAACTATACACATGGAATGGGGGCTAGGCTGAGGGAGGAAGCGGGGCTCCTGGGGAGCGTGTCCCAGGCCAAAGGGGCGAAGCTCGAGGGGAGGGCCTTGGCAAAAGGTGTGGGTGGGTCGCGAATTTGGGCCAAAATTCTACGGAGACCTGGATTCCAGAAGGAGGAGACCAGGGTCTAAGACCAAGAGGTGTAACGGGAGGGTCGGATGCTAAGGCGGGGGTGGAGTGTGGTGGGCGGAGTTAGAAGAATCTGACTCAGTGGAAGGTCTCCACCTCCACGACGGTCCAGTCACCCTGCGGGGAAGCCATGTCGTCCGGGGAGAAGCTGGTGACAGAAGTGATACTGGCGCGGGACTCGTCCAGAGGAGACAACAGTTCGGCCCAGCGACCCAGTTCAGCATCGCTGAGCGCAGTCCGGGCGCCGCCCGCGCTGCCACCACCCCCAGCGCTCCCCGGGCCACAGCCGCTGTCGCCTGTGGCACCTTCCGTCGCCGCTAACAGCAGCGTCCGGCTCAGCAGGTGCTGCACGACGCTCGCCTGCAGAGCCCCCAGTGGCAGCTCGCCCAGGCGCGCTGGCTTCACGCCGCGCGAGGCCACCCGCGTCCCTGTCCCGGCCGCCACCTTCCCACCACCCGCGCCGGGTCCGGGCCCGGGATCCAGCGCTCCTTGGGCGGCGGTCGCCGACTCAGGCCTTTCAGCCTCGTAGATTGTGCACAGGCCGTCAGCAGAGCCAGGCCCAGCAGCTGGAGGCCAAGGCAGGGGCACTCCTGCAGCGAGAAGAGCCAAACTAGCCAGAGGGAGCGATAAGCCCCGCCCCGCCCCTCAGCTCCGCCCCGGCCCCAACTGCCCGCCCCGAGCGGCGAAGCCTCGCCTTCCACCCGCCCGTCGACATTCCAGTGCCTTGCCCCTCCCACAGCTCCGCCAGGTCCCAGAGGCTGCTCACCCGGGGTGCGGCGGGCGGCCAGCGGCGGAGCGGGCCCTCGGCTCCAGGCGGCCGGATGGCAGGCGGCGAGCTCCGCGTCGGCGGGTGGGGAGGCTGCGGCGCCCTCAGGCCCGCTGTCGTAGCCGCGCAGCTCCTCCGGGGTGCTCGTGGCGCTGCTGCTGTGGCCCGCCAGGTCCGGGCCGCTCAGAGTACTGGACGGGCTGCGCGAGGGCGGTGGCGGCGGGGCCGAGGCCAGCGCCAGGGTCAACCGTGGGCCCGGGATCGGGGCATCGGGACCCGGGGTTGGGGGGCGGCGTGGAGTCTGAAGAGGGGGTGAGGCAGGGGGAGAGGGAAGGGCCTGCAGAGGGGACAAGACTAGAGAAGGTGGAGCCGGAGGAGGGGGCGTGGCCATTGGAGGGGGAGGGTCTTGCAGAGAAGGCAAGGCCAGAGTTTGGGTTTGCACAGGGGCCATAGCCAAGAAAGGATTGGACGGAACAGGAGTAGCCTGCAAAGGTGGTGAGGCCAGAGAAAGTGAGACCTGTAGGGGGGACAGGGTCTGAGAAGAGGGAGAGACCTGTAGAGAAAGTGTGTCCAGAGAAGATGGACTCTGTGGAGGGGGCGTGTTCAGGGGAGGGGCTTGAAAAGCTGGTGAGGCCAGAAAATGTGGGGCCTGTAGAAGAGGCAGGACCAAAGAGGGAGCGGCCTGAAGAGGGGACGTGACCAGAGGTGGGGTCTGCATTGGGGGCGTGGCCAGTGAAGAAGGAGGAGCCTGCGGAGGGGATATGGCTAGAAGAGGGTCCTGCGTGGGAGGTATGGCCAGTGTATAGGCCGAGGGCTGAAGATGGGGCGGAGACAGAGGACTGGCCAGTGCGGGGGGAGTGGTCAGCGCAGAAAAGTCCTGCAGAGGGGCTGTGGCTAAGGGAGAGGGTAAGTTCCGCAGAGACCTTGACTGAGAAAGAGGGACTCGTGGAGGGGGCGTGGCTGGTGGCAGACCAGCTGACGAAGGTGGTGTGGTCAAGGGAGAGGGGAGAGTCGGAAGAGAGGGCAAAGCCGGAGAAACCTGGGTAGGGGACGTACTCTGCAGAGGAGGTGAACCTGAAGGAGAGACTGGAGCTAGAAGAGTGGCCGTGGGAGAGGCGGGTGCCTCTGGAAAGGATGTACTCAGGTGTATGAGTGGAGCTTGCAAAGGGAGTGTGGCTGGCGGAGAGGGGAGGTTCTGCAGAGAGAGTGAAGCAGAGGGAGGAGGAGCTAGTGGAACGGACGTGGCCAGGGGACCCGTAAGGGCCTGCGAAGGAGGCGTGGCGGGTGGAGATGTAAGGGGTGTGTCCCGCAGAGTAGTGGCTGTGATAAGGACAGGCGGTGCCAGTTGTGCGGTCTGAACCCGTGGAGATGACGTGGCCAAAGGGGGAGAAAGGCTCTGCAGGATGGCTGCGCCCTTCCTTGAGGGTGCGGCCTGTGGGGGGCGCAGAGCCTGCAGCCCTTTCGACTTGGCCTGCGAGGAGTGCCCCAGAGCCCGGGGTGTTCCACCCAGCGAGGCCGGGGAGCGGGCTGGGGAGGACAAAGGGGTGGCGCTAGAGCCCAGGAGGCGTGAGGCTGGCCTCTGGAGGCCCCCGCAGGAGCTGGGTCGTCTCCTGGCAGCAGGGCTCGGCTCCACGGTGCTGCGCTCCGGGGCATTGCTCACTGATTTCCTGGGGGCTTCCGCCAGGGGTCGTGGCCGGGCATTCGAAGCTGCCCGAGGGAGTCCCACATCAGCACCCCCACCCCGAGACCGATGGGAGATGGCTGGGAAAGGAGCGCCTGGGGTGGGACCGGAAGAGTCTAGGGACAAAGCAGAAGGCAAAGGGGTCATCGATACTTACAGGCTGGTCCCCCTCACTGCCCAGGAGCCCCACTCCTCCCCAGATCAGGTACCTCTCCGTGTCTCCACACTCAGGGCACTCATTCTGGGAGTTTCTGGGGGTTTTCCTCTGCCCCTAGGTTCCTCAGCTGGGAGCTGGAGTCCTTTCTGCCCAAGAGGGCCTAGCCTGAGGGTGGGGAGGGCATGCTCAGGGCAGAGCCCACCTCCCCACGCCCCCCCCTTCCTTTTTGACCTCCAAAGTCCACATTTTCTTCTTCATCTGTGAAATGGGGCACATGGACCCTCTGCAGCCTTAGAATGGCTTTCACCCAATTTGCACCCAGTCATCTGCAAGTGTTCCCACATCCCAATTCATATGTAAAATGATTCCAGAGAGTGACACTGACCCTTACCTAGGAAGGCAAGGCGGGGGGGGGGGGGGGGGGGGCGGGGGGTTTAAGAATTACCCTGGGGGTACCGCTGGCTCGTCCAGGGCTAGAGATAGAGCCTGGGCCAGGGATCTTGGCAGGGGTCCGCTCCCCTCTCCCTGCCGCTGCGAGCCTCGTGGCTGCCCGGAGAAGGCCTAGTTAACAGAGTGCCCGGAAAGTAGAGGAAGTCTGATAACTCAGAAGGAAAGAGGTACAGGGAGATGGGATCGAACTCGGAGAAAGAGGCTAGGATACCTGGGTTGCTGGGGCTTGTCCCGGTGCTCCGCGTGGGTTCCACCGCGGAAGTAGCTTCAGAAAGAGCGGCTGGCCGGACGCCGGCCCCTCGCTCGGCCAGGGGCCCTCGCCCCGCAGCTCCCCCTGCTCCCAGAACTCTGAGGGCCGCGGGGATTACTGGTGGAGGGGGTCGAGGAGACGCTGGGGGTCTGGGGGTTTTCCGACGGCCCGGAGGGTGAGAAGCCGTCGTCCGAGCAGCGGCCCCTGCCCTGGCCTTGTCTCTCTTGTCCATCCCGCACCTGATGAACAGACGGCGTCCCCGGTCTTGGACCATTATGCAGCCTGCAGGAACCTGGGTTCTGGCACCTCGCTGCCCCTTCCCCAGCGTCGCCACCCACGGGCACGCACACCTCGGCCTCGATCCACTTCCCTCCCACCCAACCACCCACTCACCAGCCCAGCTGCTCAAGGTTGCCCCCAAGTCCCACCCTCATCACCCTCCTCCAGGCCCTGCCTACCCCAGCCCATCCCCCTTGTCCTGTCTCTGCTCCCTTTCAGAACCCGAGATCCACGCCCCTACCCCTCGCTCCCTAGGGACCCAGACGACCAGCCTCTGGGACAGGGGAATCCCACAGGCTCCAGATGGGGTCGGGGGACGGGAGCGCACACCCGGGTCCCCTCGCCAGCCTCGAGGGACGCCAGCACCTGCCGGGAGGAGGAGCGGCCCCAGCCGCCCGCGCACCAGCTCGGAGAGACAAAGAACCGCGTCCCGAGCGAGATGCCCTCGCCCAGCCGGGCTGAGTCCGCGCCGCCCACTCCACCTGCTAGTGCCGCACTCACCTCCGACTCGGCCTCCCGCACATCCACGCAGGGTCGCCTGGGGTGGGGTTGTACGGCAGCGAGGAAAGGGGGCTGCGGGGCGGTGGCGCCCGGAGCCGGGCCCGCCCCTCGACCGCGGGCTCAGAAGACAAGGGGCGCACGCGCCAGATCCAGCCCAGGAAGGTGGCGGGAGCGCGCCGAGGGTTGTGGAGAGGCGCGCATTGGAGGAAGGGGAGGCTACTCTGCGCGGCGCAGGAGCACGCGAGACCGAACCCGAGGGGATGGGGGAGGGAGGCGGGAATCCCTCGAGGTCACGCATCTGGCCTCCCCACCACAACATGCACAGGGCCCTGGCAACCAGGGGGCCGGACCGCACCTCCAGCCCCATGGACCAATCCGGCAGTTCAGTGTCCCTGGTCTCTGTCCTGGCCTTTGGGACCTACGAGGCAAGGCCCCCCTGGGTCCCTAGAGGCATCTGCCCCTGTCATACCCAAAGGCTTTCCCAGACCCCAGGAAAATCCCTACCTAGTGGTGGAGAGGACTATTGGGAGAATGCAGCCCTGGGAATTTAGGGACAAATCCTGAATTTGGGGGAAGAAAGGAAGGGAGGTCAAGAGGGAGAGAGAAACTGAATATGGTGAGAGGTGGCCCAGCCTTCTGCAGGACAAGGCACCCCCAACCTCCACACCCACCTAAATCACATGAATCGGTGAGGTCAGGAAAGGCTTCCTGACAGAGATAGGATTTGGGGTGGTCAAGATTATGGGAGGTTATGAGGTGTCAAAACAGGTACATGAAGGAGCTGAGAAGATCCTGTCCAAGGTTGCCCAGCTGGTAGGAGGTGTCATTCTGGTGACTTCATCAACTCATGCAAGTGGTCTCAGTAGAGGAACTTGGTAGGGGACTGTGGCATGGAAGGCATAGGAGTATGAAGAGGGAGATGGCCATCCTCAGGTGTCCTGTGCTGCCCAACTGATGCCACGTGCCCTCCCACACCTCTGCGTTCCCCCCACGTACATCCCGTGCTTTCTCCCCCTTGCCTGATCTGTCCAAATGCTTAGCCCCATCCCAAAGAACCAGCTCCCTCAGCTCCATTCCTTTCCCTATCCCATGCAAGTGTGCCCCCCCCCCGACACACACACACACACACACACACACACTGATTACAGAAGCAGCTCATACTTGCCTGAGACTTAGGAGGCTTCCAAGCACAGGACCAAGAAGGGTGGCACTTGACACCAGGGTGAACCTGTCATGGGGGGAGGGGAAGACGATGTATGTGAGCCATGAAAGTTGGGTTTTTAAATTTTTTGTAATGCAAGGGCCTGATTAAACTTTCATTGTAGAGGCAGCCACCTCAAGGATGGCCATCTCCAATGAACACACTGCCAGCCACACAAGTAGATGAAGAGCCAGGCTGTCTTCCCCACTAAGGGTCCTTTGTTTTAGAGATTTTGGTTGACCATTTGAGCCATTTTTTTTCCTTTCCATGCTTTAAATTCACCAATAAAGAGTGAGCTCATGAAACCCTAGGCATCACCCTCTACCCCAATAACAAGAACCCCAGGCCTGCCCTGGCTGGTGTAGCTCAGTTGGTTGAACGTTGTCCAATGCACTGAGATTGCAGATTTGATTCTGGGTCAAGGCATATGCTCAGGTTGTGGGCTTGATCCCCAGTAGAGGGCATGCAGGAGACAGCCTATGGATGTTTCTCTCGTCGATATTTCTTGCTTTTTAAATGTTTTTTATTAATTTCATAGAGAGGCAGGGAGAGGGAAAGAGGGATAGAAACATCAATAATGTGAGAGGATCATTGATCGGCCACCTCCTACATGACCCCTATTGGGGATCAAGCCCACAACCTGTGCACGTGCCCTGACCGGGAATGGAACCGCAACCTCCTGGCTTACAGGTTGACACTCAACCACTGAGTCACACCCGCGGAGCTCTCATTATTGTTTTTCTCGCTCTTCTTCCCTCCTTTTCTCTCTAAAATCAATAAAAACATATTTAGCCTGGTCGGAAGCAGAGGCTTGCATTTTCTTGCTTCAGTAGTTGTGTCCACAGTTGAGGTTCAGGAAATGGAAGAAAAAAGAGAGAAGCCAGGCTCAGAACTGAATACCTGCTTTGGCTGGTGAAAGCCTATCTTCAGAACCCATCCTTGCAATGAACCCTCTTCAGCCTGGAGAGGTGCTCCTTAAACACTCCTCCTCCTCACTCCCCCCACCCTGCCCCCAGGGCACTGCCCTCTGGATTGGATCATTCTAGGCCTCTCTTCATCCCCAGGTCTATTGAGGATCACTTGTGTGAATGAATACTTTCTGGCAGTACAGCAGCCTGGTTCCCCTGCCTGCCTGATTATCCATTCACCAGCAGTGCCCTCCTGAGTCATAGCTGCCTGCCCAGAGCCCTGCTCTGCTGTCTTCTTTGGTGCAAGGGTCCCTCCAAGGCTAAACTGACTCCATCCTGCATCTAATTGAGATCTGGATTCTGCCCTCATATAAGACCATTCCCCAAATTTGGTCCATCAACAAGGGGATGGATTACACAAACCAAAACATACCCTGCAATCCCTATAATGGAATACTCTTCAGCAATAAAACAAACAAACAAAACAAAAAACAAAAAACTACCAAGACACTCAAAATAGGGGCAAATCTCAAAAACTTTCTGCTGACCAAAAGAAGCCACACACACACACACAGACTTCACTGTATGATTCCATTTACAGAACATTCTGAAAAATGAAAGCTAATCTATAGTGACAGAAAACAAAACAGTAGTTGCTGGGAGCTGGTGGGGGAGGGAGACTGTTGGACCACCCCATGTAGCCACTCTTAGATTCCTGACCCTCAGAAACTGCAAGACAGTGAATGCTTGTTTTAAGCTGCTAGGTTTTGGGGGGTAATTTGTTATGCAGAACTAGCTAACTACCTCAAGTTCACAAAACCTTAGAAGCTGGGTATTAAGTACAAGTGTTGGTGAAAATGTGGAGAAATGGGCAATCATCTGTACTGTTGGTGGGAATGTAAAATGATGCAGCTGTTGTGAAAGACAATATGGATGGTCCTCAAAAAATTAAACAGAGAATTTCCATATAATCCACCAATTCCACCCAAAAGAATTGAAAGCAGGAACTCCACAAGATATTTACACACTTGTGTGTAATTATTCACAATGGGCAAAAGATGGAAGCAACCCAAGGGTTTCTTGATGGTGAGTGGTTAAACAAAATGTGGTCCATCCATACAATGGAAGATTATTTAGCCATAAAAAGGAAGGATATTCTGACACAGACTAAGATATGGATGTAACTTGAAGATATTATGCTCAGTGAAATAAGCCAGTCACAAAAGAACAAGTACTGTATGATTCCACTTATATGAGGTCCCTAGAGGAGTCAGATCCACAGAAACAGAAAGTAGATCCTGGGTGCCAGGGCCTGGGGGAGGGGGAAGAGGAGTAAATGTTTAATGGGGATAGAGTGTCAGTTTGGGAGAGTTTTAGAAATGGATGGTGGGGATGTTTGCAGAACACTGTGAATGTACTTAATGCCACTGAACTGTACACTTAAAAATAGTTAAGATGGTAAGTTCTGTTATCACCTTTTTTAAAAAGTTGGGTGTTATTGATGTGAGAAAATTTCACCCATTCTCAATGGGAACATAAAGTGAGTAGTCTTTCTGGAGAACAACTGGAAAGATTGTATGTGTGTCCTATGACCCATCTATCCCACTCAAGCGTCAATCCCTGCAGCAGGTGCCTAAAGCCCCCTCCATATCTCCTGAGCACCCATGGTTCCCACATGCCAGGAAAGTCAAAAGTACCAGGGAATTAATGCCCCTCCATTTCCCTTCTGCAGAGCAGCCCTCAGCCAAGACAAACAGGATCTGATATATTAGTACTTCAACTTCAACAACTGGGAGGTGTCTTCCACAATCTCCCAGAGTCCCCCAGAAGAATGGAGCCCTGGTTGCCCACAGTGTCAACCTGCTCATTCATCCTCATTGATGTACCCTCATTAAAGCTTACTGGCTTCTCTCCCTTCCCACTTTCATCTCCCCACTGTCTCACCATTAGTGCTTGTTGGGATCACTTCTCAGATAAGCTATTTACATCCAATTCCTTGTCTCACAGTCTGCAACTAGAAGAGCCCGAATTAAGATAACAGCTCAATCGTCCACCTACTCATCATTAACTGAATGCGCACCACTGTGTGCCTGGCACCATTCCAAGTGCTGGGGACACTGAAGGGAGCAGCAGAGACCCCTGCCTGGAGCTAATGGGGCTTCCAGCCCAGTGACCTCAGACCCTTGCATAAGTGTGCCAAGCTGGATGCTTATTCCAGAACAAAGTTGGGAACAAACCCCAGGGCATAGATATCAAGGAGCTTCTTGGGAGGCAGGAAGAGGCCACTAAGAAGAGGGAGAAAGTACTTAGTTTCAAATGGCTCCTCAGAGGGAGCCCAAGACTTAACAGAGGTGGAGTACCAGAGGGTGGAATGCATTATAGGGTTTCACAGAGGGATCTAAGCTATGGGAGTCCCAACCTTCAAGGTTTCAGGGTCTCAGGAAGCCTAACATGGTGAACTCTGGGGCTTCTTTGTCCCAAGTTAGACCACTCCCCATTCTAGTCTAGATTCCCTTGGTTGTTTTATTTTTTTAAATATATTTTATTGATATTTTACAGAGAGGAAGGGAGAGGGATAGAGAGGCAGAAACATCGATGAGAGAGAAACATCGATCAGCTGCCTCCTGCACATCCCCAACTGGGGATGTGCCCGCAACCAAGGTACATGCCCTTGACCGGAATCGAACCTGGGACCCTTCAGTCCACAGGCCAACGCTCTATCCACTGAGCCAAACCGGCCAGGGCCCCTTGGTTGTTTTTGTAATCAAAGCAGATCAAGGTTCAACTGCCTATACCTCCAGGCTGAATTGGGCAATTGGCTAGTCCAGTGGTCGGCAAACTTATTAGTCAACAGAGCCAAATATCAACAGTACGATAGAAATTTCTTTTGAGAGCCTAATTTTTTAAACTTAAACTATATAGGTAGGTACATTGTTATTAACTTAATTAGGGTACTCCTAAGGCTTAGGAAGAGCCACACTCAAGGGGCCAAAGAGCTGCATGTGGCTCGTGAGCCGCAGTTTACCGACCACCGGGCTAGTCTAAGACCCAACCCAGGCCTCCCTGTGGGAAGGAAAGGGTGGGCATGGGGAGACAGAGTCATCCTTCTAGAAGCTGGCCTCCCAGGCTGGACTCTAGCCCCAGCTCCCAGAGCCCTCTGACCCCTGCACCTATCCACGGACCACCCAAGGACCTGGCAGCAGTGTGCTCCCTGTCTTACCCCAGTGGAGGGCCAACCTCAAGGCTGGGCAGGGTCAAACATGTAAGCACCCCCATTCTACTTAGCTCCTTGACTGATGGTCAGAGCAGGAAGTGGGAACCCCCTTTCTCTTCTCTGGACCTTGATCACTGGTTCCTTGGTTGGGCCTCAAAGCCAGGTGGCTGCACCTTGCGGTGGGCGAAGGAGGAGACCCCTTCTCTTTTTCTGACTCCATCTGTACAGTTTGGTTCCAAGGAGAGCGCCCCCGCGGGTGCGCAATGCCTCGATCCTCATCAGTATGTCTCAGGCCAGGTCCAAGCCAATGGTAGCCGAGCCCAGAGGTCAGGGCCCCTGCTCCTAAGGCCGGCCGCTGGACCACCTTGGGGAGAGCAGGTCACCCTTTTCTGCGATCCCCGGCGCCAGGAGTCAGGGGCCACCTGGGAGCACCCGGAGGGAGGCAGGGCTGAGACGTCAGGTGGGCGGGGCGGGGCGGCTCCTGGTTGCGGTCCCGCCCGCCCTGATTCACCCAGCCTGGCCCGGGAACTAACTCTGCCGGAGCAGGGACCCAGGAGTTGGGCCCAGCTCCACCCTGAGCGGTGAGTAGGTGGCTCTCTCCACCGCTGGGAACCAGGTTGCTGGGTGGGGGTCGGGCCCACAGGAGGACTGCCCCAAATATGGCTGGCACAGTGGCCTGAGCCCACCGCCACCGCCTGGGGCACAGGGCAGCTGAGGAAAGGTGGGGGCAGAAAGAGGGTAGGCCCTGCTCAGGCCAAGGGTGCAGGGCAGGAGGGCAGGCAGACCTGGCCAAGGACAGAGTGAAGATCAACAGGCTGTGGGCGACCTGGGGTGAGGGTGGGGGGGAGGGGAGAAAGGGTCTTCATGATGTTTCCCTCTCCTTGGCTTCTGAGACAACAGCAACAACTCATCTTTGAGCTCCATAAGGCCCCAGAACCACCACTTGGGTTCTTCACGAGGCTGCCCTCTCCGGGACTCTTGAACCTAGACCCCCAAGTCCTGGCAGGGCCCCTTGGAAAAGTACTAGGTTGGGAGTTCCCAGGTGTGCTCCCCGCCCCCCCCCCCCATCTGCTACTAAGTCCCATCCTCCCCCACCAAGGCCTCAGTTTCTCCCTTATGTAAAAGTCAAAAGGTTGGACCTTGTGCCCTCCAAGGCCTGTTCCAGCGCTGACAACTGCTGCTGTGTTTTCCTTTACTCTTAGCATGGACTGTGGGTGGGGATAGGGGCTAGATCAGGAGTCCTCACCACCACGTGTTTTTGGAGGCAGGTTAGAGGATTGGGGAGGGCCTAAGAGAGGAGAAGCAAGGGTCAAGTGTGGATGGGTGGAGCTAAGACTGGGTAGGGGACATGTACCTATCCTAGGCTGACAGAGACCCCTTCTTCAATCTGGCATGCAGAGCAGCCATCCCACCATCTCGCCTCCATATTCTCCTACTGAAGTTCTTTTGACAAAGATACTAGTCTCTGCCAGAGGTTTTCTCTCAAAATGGAACAGAATGGATGCAATCAGGCATTTGAGGTTCCACCTCAAATGCCATTTGTAGCTGTGAAAACTTGAGCAAATTATTTCTCTCCCTTTGAGGCTGGAAAAAGAGAGTTCCAACACCCATGCTCACTGAGACATGGTGGCTGTAAGTTGTGTGTGTGGCCCCATTGTTGTTTTTCTAAGGGTTTCCCCCATCCCGAAAGTCCTTTTCTCTGGACCCTCCCACTAGCCCTGCTCAGACATAGGGGGGGCATTGTGTCTGTGGAAGCTTAATGGCAGGTTCCAACAATCAAGTCTGAGTCATGGAGACACATAATGATAACCCCTCGTGTCTGCCTCTGATGGTGTTGTATATGCACCTTGTTCCATGGGAACCACTGAGCAATCTGCTGGGGACCTTAGGGGTCTCTTTTTGCCTGATTGTGGACCCCAGAAGTGAACTTCTGCCATTGTGAGATGGATCCTGAAATGCAGCAGGAACTCAGGTAGGAAGTCCCCTGCTGCAGTCCCCAGAGTTCCTATTTTTAAGTTAAGCAACTGAGCAGTGTCTCTTACAGGGACAGGTAGCCAGGGCAGGGGGAACCATAAGTGGAGGGACTGGAAAAGGATGTGTGGTGTCTCCCTGGTCCTAGGTCTCCCCTCAGCTCAGTGTTTGTGCACTTAGGCCTACATGCACAAATGTGCACACTTCAAAATGCCCCCAAGTGACCCTTTTGGTGGCTGCAATGTACTTTTGGGTGCTTGGGGCTGTTAAGATGCCCTGGGTATGTTTCTATCAGATCCCCTGGTGACCAAGACTGACTGGGATGCACTGGGGCATTTTTACTTGGCTTTTTGTTTAGGATGGTATAAAACTGAGTATGAGGAATGAGCCATTGCATAAGGGATCTTGTGTTCTTTGTGCACCTCCTTGCGTGTGCCTGGTGCTGGGTGAGTCAGGGCCTGAGTCAGGGAGCCCAGGAGTCTGGGTGTGAGCAGACATGTACCCATCTTGCTAGCCTATCCCCATCTTGGTACAGTGGTGGGAACCTCTGATGGGATTAAGTGGGTGGGGCCTGCATCCTCTATCTCCACCCACTAAATCCCCAAGGCTTTCAAGGGATGAGGGGATGGGAAAGGGAGGTGTCAGAGCCTTTGGTGCAGGTGTGGGACTGGGTCAGGTTCCCCCTGAAGGTGGGTGAAGGGCTGGAGGACCAGCTGGTGGCCCAGATGCTACCTTCCTTGCCCAGCCTGCACCAGTGAAGCTATCAGGATGAGGCGAGCAGGCTCCAGGAACCCATTGGGAGAAAATGAGGCCTATATATTGGGAACCATGGAAGCTGGGAGAGGTGGGTGGCCTAGGAGCCCCCTCAGAGGCAGTGGCAGCCTTGCTACCTCCCTCTCCTCCCACCTCCAGCCTCAGGGAGAGAAGAGGGGGGCTCCTGGTCCAGGCTTGTGGCTTTTGTGTGACTTGCACCTGGCCATCTGTATCTGGAATAAGGATACCTTGGTCTAAAATGAAACCCAGGGACAGGCAGTGGGCTGGCCGCCCAGTCCTGTCTCAGTCATAGATGTCACACTGGCTCTCTCCCCAAATTTTTCATTTCCTGATCCTCTGCCACAGCCTCACTCACCCTGGCACCCCCTGCCCTACACTTTCAGAGCCTAAGTGTCTTTTTCTGCCTCAGATTCTGGGTACATTCCCTCTATAAACCCAGGTGTCCTAGCCACACACCCCAAGGGCTGACCAGCCTTCAGTTTTGCCACTCCCTGTCCCTGGGGCCTGTAATCGGAGCCAGGCTCCAGCCGGCTTTTCCGGTTGGAGTTTGGAGGTGGTGCCCCGAGCTCCCCTCAAGGGGGTGGCAGGGCCCACGCCCCGGAAGTCCTGAGCCTTGAGCCATCCTCTCGTCCAGTGGTGGAGAGCCAGTCCTGACACTCAGACACCCAGTGTCTGGAGTCAAAAGAGCTGCAGAGGGACTTTTGCCTGGCTCATAGTTAAAGGTAAGAGACGCCCTGGTTCTGAAAGGACACACAGGCTAGCTGGGGGACAGCCCTCCTGAGCCCTGAAAGGGCAGGCAGGTTCAGATTGGTGCAGAGGTCCCAGGGAGCAGAAGTAGTGAGAACATTAGTCGCTTGGCTCCAGGAAGGAGGTGAGGTCTGGGGGAGAGGGAAAGGGGACGCACAGCTCCTGGGTTCTGCCAGATTTCGGCAGGGTAGAGTGCAGATCCGGAGCAGCGTCTGGCTCCTAGGGGGCCCCACCAGCAGATGCCACTGCCTGAGGTCTCCGCACCACACCTCCTCCTCTCTCATAGGCAGGATGATTCCACTGGCCGAGTTCAAGCAATTCTCAGAGCAGCAGCCTGCCTTCAAGTTGCTCAAACCCTGGTGGGACGTACTGGCCGAATACCTCACAGTGGCTATGCTCATGATCGGGGTCTTTGGCTGCACCCTCCAGGTAAGGGAAGGGGCAGGGCGGGGCCTGAATGAGGGTATAGGGGCGGGGCTCTAGAGCAGTGGTTCTCAACCTTCTGGCCCTTTAAATACAGTTCCTCATGTTGTGACCCAACCATAAGATTATTTTCGTTGCTACTTCATAACTGTAATGTTGCTACTATCATGAATCGTAATGTAAATATCTGATATGCAGGATGGTCTTAGGCGACCCCTGTGGAAGGGTCGTTCAACCGCCAAAGGGGTTGCGACCCACAGGTTGAGAACCAGTGCTTTAGAGGGTGTGGCCTGGGGAATTTCGGAAATCTTCCTCTTATCCAAGGAAGGAGAAACCAGAGCCCCCGATACTTACAGACCAATTCTGAAGCCTTCCCATTTTCTCCATCACTGGCAGCAGCACCAAAGTCCTGTACATAGCTATGGTAGTCCATATTTTTATAATACTTTTGTCCCTAGAACCTAGTAAGAACTGCAGTTACCTTATTAATTTGCTAGGGCTGTCATAACAAACTATCATGAACTGGGTAGCTTAAACAGAAAATTTTTATCTTACAGTTCTTAAGACTAGAAGTCTGAAATCAAAGTGTCAACATGGTTGGTTTCTTCCCAGGGCTGTCAGAGAGAATATGTCCCATGCCTCTTTCTTAGGTTCTGGGGGCTTGATTTATAGATGATATTCTCCCTATATCTTCATAGCATCTTCCCTCTATATGTGTGTGTGTCTATGTCCAGATTCCCCCTTTTTAAAAGGACACAGTCACCCTGGCTGGCGTGGCTCAGTGGTTGAGCATCAACCTACAAACCAGGAGGTCACGGTTTGATTCCCAGTCAGGGCACATGCCCAGGTTGTAGGCCCAATCCCCAGCGTGAGGCAAACAGGAGGCAGACAATCAATAATTCTCTCTCAAAATTGATGTTTCTCTCTTCCTCTTTGAAATCAATAAAAGTATATATATTTTTTAAAATATATTTTTATTGATTTTTTACAGAGAGGAAGGGAGAGGGATAGAGAGTTAGAAACATCAATGAGAGAGATACATCGATCAGCTGCCTCCTGCACACTCCCCACCGGGGGGTTGTGCCCACAACCAAGGTACATGCCCTTGACCGGAATCGAGCCTGGGACCCTTCAGTCTGCAGGCCAATGCTCTATCCACCGAGCCAAACCGGTTAGGGCTAAAAGCATATTTTTAATAAATCAATCAATCAATAAATAAAGGCAGTCATATTGGTTTAGGGCCCACCCTAATGACCTCATCTTGACTCCATCTGCTCTGGAAACACTGCCACATTCATGGGTATTGAGGATTAGGACTCCAACATCTTTTTGGGGGACGCAACTCAACCTAACTCTTTTTTTCAGACAAAGACTGATGCTCAGGTTTACTGACTCTTCTAAAGTCATCAGAGCCAGCTGGGGACAGTTGGGGATCAGGGCCTTCCACCTCAGCCTACTTCTCTCCCGATTCCCCAGATCCCTCACCCTCTTTCACCCTCTTCCCTATTCCATAGGTGACACAGGACAAGATCATCTGTCTGCCCAGTCATGAACCCCGGGAGAACTTATCTGAGGCCCCGTGTCAGCAACTGTTGTTGCAGGGGGTCCCTGAACAGATGGAGGGTCTCCAGGAAGTGAGCGGCCTCAAAAATAACTTGGACCTGCAGCAGTACAGCTTCATTAACCAGCTCTGCTATGAGAAGGCCCTTCATTGGTACCCCAAGTACTTTCCCTACCTGGTTGTCATTCACACACTCATCTTTATGGTCTGCACTAGCTTCTGGTTCAAGTTCCCTGGCACAAGCTCCAAGATCGAACACTTCACCTCTATCCTGGGCAAGTGTTTCGATTCACCATGGACCACACGGGCTCTGTCTGAGGTCTCGGGGGAGAACCGTAAGGGCCATGCCACTGGACGAGCAACAGCAACTGTGGCTGCTGAGGCAGGGCCAGGGAAGGTGGGGGAGGGTGAAAAAGAGAAGGTGCTGACAGAGCCTGAGAAGGTGGTGACTGAGCCACCAGCTGTTACCCTGTTGGACAAGAAGGAGGGGGAACAGGCCAAAGCCCTGTTTGAGAAGGTCAAGAAGTTCCGTGTGCACGTGGAAGAGGGGGACATTTTATACACCATGTACATCAGGCAGATGGTGCTCAAAGTCTGCAAGTTCTTTGCCATCCTGGTCTACAACCTCATCTATGTGGAGAAGATAAGCTTCGTGGTGGCCTGCACAGTGGAGACTTCAAGGTTCACGGGCTATGCCAGCTTCTGCTGCAACCACACCAAGGCCCACCTCTTCTCCAAGCTGGCTTTCTGCTACATCTCTTTTGTGTGTGTCTATGGGATCACCTGCCTCTATACACTCTATTGGCTCTTCCACCGACCCCTCAAGGAATACTCCTTCCGCTCTGTTCGGGAGGAGACTGGCATGGGTGACATTCCCGATGTCAAGAATGACTTTGCCTTTATGCTGCACCTCATCGACCAGTATGACCCGCTGTACTCCAAGCGCTTCGCTGTCTTCCTCTCCGAGGTCAGCGAGAGCCGCCTGAAGCAGCTCAACCTCAACCATGAGTGGACACCTGAGAAACTTCGGCAGAAGCTGCAGCACAACACCACGGGCCGGCTGGAGCTGGCGCTCTGCATGCTCCCAGGACTGCCTGATACCGTCTTTGAGCTCCGTGAGGTCGAGGCACTCCGCCTGGAGGCCATCTCTGATATCACTTTCCCCCCAGGCCTGTCACAGCTGGTGCACCTGCAGGAACTCAGCTTGATCCACTCTCCTGCCAGGCTACCCTTTTCCTTGCAGATCTTTCTGCGGGACCGCCTGAAGGTCATCCGTATCAAGTGTGAGGAGCTCCGCGAGGTGCCTCTCTGGGTGTTTGGGCTGCGTGGCCTGGAAGAGCTGCACCTTGAGGGGCTCTTTCCCCCAGAGCTGGCTCAGGCAGCTACCCTTGAGAGCCTCCGAGAGCTGAAGCAGCTCAAGGTGCTATCTCTTTGGAGCAATGCCGGCAAGGTCCCAGCCAGCGTGACTGATGTGGCTGGTCACCTGCAGCGGCTTAGCCTGCACAATGATGGGGCCCGCCTGCTGGCCCTTAATAGCCTCAAGAAGCTGACGGTGCTACGGGAGCTGGAGCTGGTGGCCTGTGGGCTGGAGCGCATCCCCCATGCAGTCTTTAGCCTAGGTGCACTGCAGGAACTTGACCTTAAGGACAACCACCTGCGGTCCATTGAGGAGATCCTCAGCTTCCAGCACTGTCGCAAGCTGATCACGCTCAGGCTATGGCACAACCAGATCGCCTACGTCCCCGAACATGTACGTAAGCTGCGGGTCCTTGAGCAGCTCTACCTCAGCCACAACAAGCTGGAGGCCCTACCCACCCAACTGGGCATGTGCTCTGGCCTCCGCCTGCTGGATGTTACCCACAATGGGTTACACTCCCTGCCACCTGAGCTGGGTCTCCTGCAGAACCTGCAACACCTGGCTCTCTCCTACAATGCCCTGGAGACCCTGCCTGATGAGCTCTTCTTCTGCTGTAAGCTTCGGACGTTACTCCTGGGCTACAATCAACTGACTCAGCTGTCTCCCCAGGTGGGGGCCCTCAGGTCCCTCATCCGCCTGGAGCTCAAGGGCAACAGGTTGGAGGCTCTGCCAGAAGAACTGGGCAACTGTAGAGAGCTAAAGAAGGCTGGGCTTCTGGTGGAGAACAGCCTTTATGAGGGCCTGCCAGCAGAGGTTCGAGAGAAGATGGAAGAGGAGTAAAGCCAGGGAGGGGCAGGTTGCAGTAGAGGCTTTCTGGATGCTTCCATCCCAAAATCTCTACCACTGTCTTTACCACTGAGGTGGCCAGGTGAGCCCAGGCCAGGAGAGGAGAGGAGGAGCAGACATGTCAGCCCATGGGGCCCAGGCAAGATCTTGGGACTGGTTTATCTGGGGAGATGGGAAGCTGTGGATTTGGGGTGGAATGGCATGGAGAGATTAACTCAGTCATAGATTCTCAGACCAAAACCACATCTGTGTCTTGGCTGGCTGGCCTGCCTCAGCCCTGGGCCAGAACTTCTGCCCTCCCCCTGGACATTCTAGCTCAGTCAGTGCCACAAAAGGGGGTGAGGACACAACCCGATAGGATTTCAATCTTCTCCCCCCTACCAAAGCTTACATCGGGGGTTCTCTCCCAAGGTGTCACAGACACAAGGGACCAGCACACACTGCCCTGACTTGAAGTTATTTCTCTTATTTGGCAATGCATCAAAATCAACATTCCCAGAAAACATCACAGGTCCCACCCCTGAAAGTCTGACTCAGGAGCTTTGGCTCGAGGCCAGGAACTTGCCTGTCAATAAGTGCTCCAGGTAATCCTGATGCCTGTGGTCCTAGACATTTATGTTGGGAAATGCTGACCTACAGAGGAGGTATCTAGAGCAGGAATTCTGAACCCTTTTTAGGTCCCTAGACCCTTTGAGAATCTGATGAAAGCTGGACACCTCTTTCCTCAAGAAAATGCCTGTGTACACATACATGCACAATTCTGTAAGCAATTTCAGGCAGTCAACTCCCCAAGGACTATTCAAGGGTGTCCTAAGGATTGTAGACCCCAGGTTAAGAACACCCGCTGTGGAGGATACATTTTTAAAAATAAATAATACTAATTATCAGAACTATCATTCTGATTTCCTGTGTCCACCCCTCTTGTCTAAGCCATTTCATGAGAACAATTATAGGCAGGTAGCCACAGTGCCACAATAAAGGGTATGTGTCTCTGTCCTGGAGACCTCAGGTAATCAGGAGAAATTAGGTGGCATCTCCTGATTAGCTTTTTTCTTGGAAAACCCATCTTCTTATACCTTCCCTGTTATTCTCCTGACTCTATACTTTTTTAAAATTTTTATTTATTGATTTAAGAGAGAGAAGCATCACTTTTGCTGTTTCACCCTTTTATGCATCCATTGGTTGCTTCTTGTATGTGCCCTGACTGGAGATCGAACCCACACCCTTGGTGTATCAGGAAGATGCTCTAACCAACTGAGCTACTCCGCCAGGGCTGACTCTATACTTTCGTATCTGCTTCACCTGTCAGTCATCACCAGAGGGGTCCCCTTGGCTGGACCAGCAGGGCACTTGGCTCAGTCTGCCTGACCCTGACCTCCTGGGCTCCACCTCCTAGGTGTCTGCTAAATGCAATTTTCCTCCTGGCTCCTAGAACAAAGGCAAGCTACTCTCCAGGGACCCATAATTTCAGATGGGGACATTTTCCCAGCACCTTCAGACGAGTTAAAGGAATTTTTAGGCAGCAAGGACACCAGGCAGAGGCATCTAACCCCAGGGCCAGTCTTCTGCATTGTCAAGGAGTAGGGCTCACATTCTGGGGGCCGGACAGATGGGGGAAAGTCTTAAAACGTCCCAGGCTAGTCTGACCTGGAACTCTAGCCTTGACCTTGGCCCCATCGCTGAGGTCAGGGGTCACGCCGCTGGGTTCCCAGGGCCCTCATCTCTTCCTACCCCCGCCTCTTCCTCCTGCCCTGGGCTTGCTGAAATGGAAGGGGCTTCCCACGGCTGCCTAATTATGAGGAGGCAGCAATTATGCATAACGGATCATAATGAAATCTGCCCGAAGTGAGAACGGAGTTCTGAGAGGGCATGGGTGCCAGAAATGGCCCAGCCAGAGACAGCGTAGACTAAGGACACAGCCGTGGGGACCACCCATGACAGCGCCAGAGCCAGAGCCTACACAGCAGACCTCGTCTCCCCTGGTGTGCGCTCGCGCGTCGCTCCCCCGGACCTCCCCCGCGCCCCCCCCCCCGCCCCCCATTCGCTCTTGCAGAATGCGGAATGTCGTTTCCATACAGCGCGGCTCACCAGGGCGCTCGGAATTCGCACAAGAGCTTCTTGGCGGGAGGTTTGCACATTGCCAGCCTCAAGCTCTAGGTGGCGTCATCTCTTTGGCTGCGACGCCGCACGCACGCACGCGCGGAGCTCCGCACCAGGGAACCGCGGGCATGCGCTAAGCGGGAGGAGACGGCGGCTCGGCGGGGTCACCCAGACGCAGGCGCAGTGCGGTGTTTGTCTGCCGGGCTGACGGGCGGCCGGGCGGCCGGCGGTGCGCGGCGGCGGCGGCGGCGGGGAAGATGGCGGCGTCCTCCCTGGAGCAGAAGTTGTCCCGCCTGGAAGCAAAACTGAAGCAGGAGAACCGCGAGGCCCGTCGGAGGATCGACCTCAACCTGGATATCAGCCCCCAGCGGCCCAGGCCCAGTAAGCACAGCGGCGTGGGGGAGGGGGCGGGCGGGGGCGGGGCGCGCTCTGCGGGAGGCCCCGCCCACGTCTCTAGGCCCCGCCTCCTCTTCCGGAGCGCGCTCGCTTCTCCTCACTGCCTCCGCCAGCTGTCTGCTCGCGTGGAGCGGGTCACGGTGACCCCGCGCCTAGGGGCTGGCGGGCTCCCGGACGGTCCTCCCCCAGCCTGGGGGAATGCACCTCTATGGGGCCTGAGAGGCTAGGTACCCGGCTCCAGGTGATGTTACCCCACCGGATGACCTGCCCCCATCACCGTGATCTGCGGAGCCTCTGTCACCTACTGTGAGCCGTGCTTCCTCTACCCCATGCGACTGTGACTACATCCAGGTCCCCAGCAAACTCGCACTCGTCCCTTCTAACCAGATGGTTCCACTCCCTCCATCTCAGTGACTGTTCAGAGAACCCTACCCCCACTCCACTCCTGGGTCCTTGTCATCAGCTTCAAGGGGTGATCCACTCACATACTCACACCTGGCCTGGGGACACCTGAGGTCACTTGATCACAGATAACCCCCCTTTTTCCTCTGACCTGATGGTTCTCCCACTCCCTCCCTGTGACGGGATCCCTTCTCCCCAGTCGGACTTTGTCAATGGGCTCAGCAGCCCCCTTCCACACTGTACACATACACCAGGCCCCTGCATCCTCCTCTGACCAGTTTCACTACCACCATCGTGGTGTCTGTGTCTAGCTCCCAAAATACACACCCAACCTTCAGTCTGAGGACTTGGTCATTTGGGCTCAGTGACTTCTTCCCCACACACCAATACTGACGTGGCCTGGGGACACCTGAGGCCACTGTGGTAATATCTAGCATCCCAGCACTCATATACCTCTCCTCTGATTCCACCATCTCAGTGCCTACCTTCCTGGCATCTTGTCATCTGGAATCAAGAGTTGTCCCTCTAATACCCCCACCTGCCCTGGGATCACCATGGTTACATTTAGTCTTGTTATGTCCCACAGAACCCCTCCTCAAATCCTCTCGCAGCTGGAGGGCATCAGATTTCCCTCTTCACACAGACCTAATGAACAGCACCCCACAACACTTTCTGTGTCTTTCTTGTCGTCTTTAGCGTCCTCTCTGATATGACCCTTGTAGCTTATGTAGCTCCCATGTCATCCTGACAGAAAGAGGAAGACACCCTATATCCGGGTACTCCCAACTACCCGCTACTCACCCAGCCTGACCTTCACAGCCTGAAACCCACCCCAGTCCCTGTGTAGGGCCCACTCCCCATCCCTCCCTTCCTGGGTCAGCTTGGGTTCCTCCATGAGAAGGTCTCCTGGGGGCCCAGAGAAAGCCTTGAAGCGGCGATGCTGGCATTAGACACTCCTGGCCTGGGGCAGGAAGCCCAGCCAGGACTGGAGGGTCCATGCTGGGCTCTGCAGTGCTGCATGGTCCCCTCCCCCCCGACCCCTCAGCATGAACAAGACAGAGTTGGGTATGGGGCCTGAGGTGCCTTATGGAGGTGGCTATCCCAGTTGCAGAATGACGCACAGCGAGACCCAAGGCAGGCAGGCCCTTGAGGAGCCTCACTCTAGGCATCTGTGTCTGTGTCAGCTCCATCCCATCCTTCCAGTCCGCCCATCTGTCAGTTTCTACCCATCTCTGCAGTTTGGTGCCTTGCACCTCCCCCTCCTCCTCATTATGATTTGATTTCTTTTCTTTTGGACAAATCGGTTGTTTCTGTTGTGATTTATCGTCGTGTTTTTTTTTCTTCCTTCTCCCCATCCAGTTATTGTGATCACTCTAAGCCCTGCTCCTGCCCCGTCCCAACGAGCAGGTACCAGCCTTTTTATCATCGCTGCTTGGACATCTGCACCATTGACTTAACTGCTGCCCCAGCTGCAGAATCCCATCCCTCATCCCCCCATGCCGTGTGTGTGTGTGTGTGTGTGTGTGTACGTGTGTGTGTGTGCACACACATACTAGCACACACCTTCTTGAACTCTCTCATTCTCAGTCTTTCTCCCTCCACGAGATCCACATCAGGCCCATTCCACCTCTTCCTCTGTGTTCTCTCACCTGCCTCCCCCGCTTCCCTTTCTCTCAGAGGCAGGTTTGAACTCCCTAGAGGAGGAACTGGGCTCCCTCACCGACGAAGTATATCACTTGTGAGGGAGTCACACGTGTGTGTGCAAGTGTGTGTGTATCAGTGAAAAGGAGAGGAAGTGAGACCAATGGGTCAGCTGTGCCTATGTATCTACTTCAACAATTCAGGGAACATGTTTTGGCCCCTGTGTGCTATGTCTCTTCTAGGCTCCAGGAGCACAGCAGTTAATAAAATGGACCAAGTCCCTCTCCTTGTGCAGCTGATGCTCCACTAGAGATGGGGTGGAGTATGAACAATGAGCAAACTCTTAGTCAGGGAGAGCAGGAGAAAGCTATGAACCGTGGAGAAAAGGCAGAGTAGAGTAGGGATGAGGGTTCTGCAGCAGGGTGGCTGAGGAAAGCCTCTGGAAAAGGTAGGATTCTTTTAACAATTAAAAAAAAACACACCTGTATTATAAGTTCAAAGCATGCTCACCCTGGCAGGTGTGGCTCAGCTGGTTGGGCATTGTCCCATGCACCAGGAGGTTGCTGGTTCCATTCCTGGTCAAGGACACATGCCTGAGTTGTGGACTGCATCCCTGGTAGGGAGCATGCGGGAGGCAGCTGATCGATGTGCTCTCACGTAGATGTTCCTCTCCCTCTCCCTTTCTCTCTAATAATAACAATTTTTAAAATATATTTTATTGATTTTTTTAATATAATTTATTGATTTTTTACAGAGAGGAAGGGAGAGGGATAGAGAGTCAGAAACATCGATGAGAGAGAAACATCGATCAGCTGCCTCCTGCACACCTCCTACTGGGGATGTGCCCGAAACCAAGGTACATGCCCTTGACCAGAATCGAACCTGAGACCCTTCAGTCCGCAGGCCGACGCTTCATCCACTGAGCCAAACCAGTTAGGGCAATAACAATTTTTTTAAAAAAAAAATTATCAGAAAAGTAAGTTCCACCAGCACAGGATTATAGATGACAAGCCCCACCATGTCATGGAGGATTTCTCTGTTCCTGGATACATGATGATAAACAAAACCACTTCTATTTTACTCAATGAAAATACATGGAGAGCCTCAGGTTATACCTGGGTGGTGTGCTGTCCATTATTTTTGGTGTCTTGTGCATGGTTCCAACTGCCCGTCACTTGGGGAGACTGTAAAATGATTTCTTCTGGAAACAGAGTCTTGTGGGAGGTGGGGGGAGCAGCTGAATGGAGGTAGAATGGCTCTGCCAAGGCCTTAGTGTAGGTGCCAGTGGGTCTGGGAATGGATGTGTATAGCACAGGCCCAGTGTGGGTGTGTGTGAGAGACCAGGCTGGAGGCCTGGTCCTGTTGGCCCTTGTGGGTAAGTAGGACTAGGTTAGGCAGTTGTATGTGTACCACCTCGTGTGTGTGTGTGTGTGTGTGTGTGTGTGTGTGTGTTGGAGTCTCTGTTGCATTGTCTGCTTGTCTGCATGTGTGTGTGGGTTTATGCCATGCTGTGTGTGTGTGTGTATGTGTACACGCGCGTGCGTGAGCACCGGCTGACAGCCTGGTACATCTATGATTCCTGACAGCCGCATGCCCCCATGGTCTCTTATTCTCTCTAATTCATTCATATCTCTCTCTCTCTCTCTCTTTCTCTCTCTCTCATTCAATTTCATGACCTCCCTCTGTCCTCCTGACCTGCTTCATGGCTCATCACCACCTCAGAGCTCACTGACCACTCTGGGACTTTATGTATCTCCCCCCTCCCCACCACCACTTCAGATCCTACTGTGCTTCAGTTTGCAGGGCTGGTGGAAGCCTCTGTTTCCTGAGGCTCTGGGGCAGCTCAAAGGCCCAGTGGTCTATTTTAGGGAGGGGACCCATGGGGCACCAAAAAATGTGGAGAGGGCAGAGATGTGGTCCTCCCCACAGAGAGCTGACAGTGCAGGGCAGAAAAAGGATCCAGATACTTCTCCGGGGATGAGAACCTGACACTGTCTCAGGAGACTCCATGTGCAGGGGGAGTACAAAGCGAGGTTGTTGAGCCAGAGAGGGAAGGCTTACGACCCTGGTTCAGGCCATGGCAGAGCAGAGGTATAAGGATGCTACAAAGCTGGGGCAGGATGGGGGGCATGGAAGTGGAGGGTTCTGGGCTTGACTATGTCTCCGGAGTCTCCAGAACTCTATCTCTATTCCTGCCAGGCCCTAGCAGGACCAGTTCCCCTTCTAGAACTGCAGGCCAGGGTCACATACTTGTTCCCTCACTCTGGCTCCCTCACAGCAGGGTCCTGGGGCAACAGGGCAAGGAAAGTGCTCGGACACCAGCAACTCAAACATATCCATTGGTCACTGGGCCTGGGTTACTAGATGCTCACAGAACTGTGGGAAGAAAAAGTGGGCTGCAGTAGGAGGTGTGGAGAGAGGAGGGACATCAGCTGGAAGCAGGCCCCATGGGAAGGTGAACCTGGGAGGATGCTTGTAGCCAGTGCGCTCCCAAGCCAAGGAGCCCCTTCCAGAGTGCCAGGGCCTCTCAGGTATAAGGGTTCAATGGAGGATTGTGTGTCTCTTCCGGGGGCCACAACAGCCTCTGCTCCTCCAACCTGTTGCCAACCCAGCCAGGGGAGGCTCCCACCCCCTCAGCGAACCTACTCTCCTGTCCAGGCCCCTCTCTGGCCTGTCTCTGCAGCACCCCAACTCTTGGGTAGCTGGGCTCCGGTCTTGGCTCCCGTCTGTCTCCTGCCCTCCCATCCCCTAACGCTGCCTGCCTGTCCTGGGCTGTCCGCTGCCTGTCCGCTGCCTGCCTGCCTGCAGCATGTTCAAAGCCATCTGCATGCAGGCTGCTGGAAAGAACCAAACCCCTGCCTGGCCTAGCACCCCCTCCAAATCCCACCAGTCCTGTAGGGGCTGTGCCAGCCGGAACCCCTCATCAGCAGGACACAGGCCCAGCTGGGGTCCTGCCCCTGCCACTGTCCCTGTTGGCCCCAGCTGTGCAAGCCAGGCTGGGAGGCTCACAGATGAGCCTGCTGGCCAGAGGGTGGCTTTTCCTTACTCAGGAACAGAACACGGGGTGGGGGAACCCTGGGTCCCTCGCCCATTGTCTCCCCAGGATGGTCTGCCTCACTCTTGTTAGACCAAGTTCATTGCAGCCCACAGGACCATAGCGCAGGCTGATCCTGGCTGGCAATCCTTCTGAACATGGTCCTGAGCATGGGCGCTGTGGCCCTGGGCCTGCTTCCTGGGTAGACGTGGGGAGGAAAGGGACATGCCAGGGAGGACGCCTGTCTGAGGGATGCCATCAGCCTCCAGGACTCATTTTTCTGATAGCATTGACTTGGGGATGAACCGTTGGCCTCTGGGGACCACGATTCCCAGCCAGCCCACTCCATCTCCTTCCAGGGGAGGGAGATGGGAGAGGTACCCTGAAAGTGGTTCCAAGGGTGAGGCGCCAGCTCATCCCACCCAGCAGGTCAGGCGGCTGTGCTAGCCTATGTGAGGATTCCTGGGAGGGGAAATCAATGTCCCTAGCCCCCAGATGCCAGCATTGGAGGTGGGACCAGCTGCATGCCAACCCTCTCCATGCCCCTGCCTCTCACCCCCCCCTCCTCCCAGCCCTCCAGCTCCCACTGGCCAACGATGGCGGTAGCCGTTCACCATCTTCTGAGAGTTCCCCGCAGCAACCCACGCCCCCTGCCCGGCCCCGTCACATGCTGGGGCTCTCATCCACCTTGTTCATACCCCGAAGCATGGAGAGGTGAGCCTTCAGAATGGGGCCACTGACCTTTGGGAGGTCAGCTTGGAGGGCTGCTGGGCTAGCCCCAGGGAGGAGGTGGTGAAATATGTGGGAAACCCCTGTGTGTTGGGAGCTGGGGTGGTCTCAGGTTGGTCAGGACCCCCCTCCACTCACACCCTCACCCTGTTCCTCCAGTATCGAGATTGACCAGAAGCTGCAGGAGATCATGAAGCAGACAGGCTACCTGACTATTGGGGGCCAGGTACTACCCTTCCCCCAGCCCCTGGGCGGTGGGGGAGGACACAGTGGGGCTAGGTCTACATGGTAGGGCAGAGGCTGGGCAGATCCTCAGTCCTGATTCTCTTCACCAGCGCTACCAGGCAGAAATCAATGACCTGGAGAATTTGGGGGAGATGGGCAGTGGCACTTGCGGCCAGGTATGGAAGATGCGCTTCCGGAAGACAGGCCACGTTATCGCTGTCAAGGTGAGCACCCACCCCGCCCAGGTGTGTCCCATGCCTCTCAGCTCTGGTGCTAAGGATCTCCTCTCCTCCCCGCACTGTCCTGTGCAGCAAATGCGACGCTCGGGGAACAAGGAAGAGAATAAGCGGATCCTCATGGACCTGGATGTGGTACTCAAGAGTCATGACTGCCCCTACATCGTGCAGTGCTTCGGGACCTTCATCACCAATGTGAGCCTGACTGCCCCTTCTTTTCTGCCCACTCCCTTGAGTCTCTCTTGCCGCTCTCTGAGTGTGCCCCCCAGCCCCTCTTTTCTTTCCCTGATTGGGGTGGGCAAGAGGGTATGGCCGCCCCCAAGCCAAGCCTGCTGCCCTTGCAGACGGATGTCTTCATTGCCATGGAGCTCATGGGCACCTGTGCGGAGAAGCTGAAGAAGCGGATGCAGGGTCCCATCCCTGAGCGGATCCTGGGCAAGATGACGGTAGCGGTGAGTGGCCAGGCTGGGGCAAGAGGCCCAGGCCCATCTCCCCCGCGCCAGTCACAGTGCTCCTCTTTCCTCGCAGATTGTGAAGGCACTCTACTACCTGAAGGAGAAGCATGGTGTGATCCACCGGGACGTCAAACCCTCCAACATCCTGCTGGATGAGCGGGGCCAGATCAAGCTCTGCGACTTCGGCATCAGTGGCCGCCTTGTCGACTCCAAGGCCAAAACACGGAGCGCTGGCTGCGCTGCCTACATGGCAGTAAGTGGGGGCCTGGGTGGCCTGGGCAGTGAGCCTGCTCCAGCCACAAGGGTCCATTCTCCCCTTTCCCTGTCTACTCTTCCCCCACCTCTTCCCTACAGCCTGAGCGCATTGACCCCCCGGACCCCACAAAGCCAGACTATGACATCCGGGCTGACGTGTGGAGCCTGGGTATCTCTCTGGTGAGTTGGGGCCCCTCTTCCTGAGGGCTGGGGTGACCCATTTCTGGGGTATGGGAGGACAGCAGGGAGGGCAGGAGTCTGTTTTCGACCACTCCAGCCCATGTCTTCTCAGGTGGAACTGGCAACAGGACAGTTTCCCTACAAGAACTGTAAGACGGACTTCGAGGTCCTCACCAAGGTCCTGCAGGAAGAGCCCCCGCTCCTGCCCAGTCACATGGGCTTCTCGGGGGACTTTCAGTCATTCGTCAAAGACTGGTGAGGAGCCCCTACCCAGGCCTTCCAGGAGGGGGACAGATCAGGTGTGGCCCCAAGCTCAAGGCAGCCAGGGATGTTTGGGGTGGGAGGATGGAAAGCCTGCCCTCATGGGGGTGGGAGAGCTGTGGGTCAGAAGGGGCTCAGGGAGGAGTCAGAGCCTTGGAGCCATGACTTGGGTTTGGACTTGGCCTGAGGTGACAGCTGGCCCCAGGGCATTTGGCTGGGTGGCCTGGGGCTTCACCTCAGGAAGTTTTAAACAAGCAGAGGGGAGAGGGCTGTGAGCATCCTGCACCAACAAGCAGAATTATGCAGGCAGGATGTTTATATTGGATTCTCCCTCAGGAAAACCCCTCCTACTGGCACCTTACAACATGGTTCAGGCCCCTGTCCTACGTGGGTGCAGGCCTTGGTTCCTCTGAGGTATCCCAGTTGGTGACACAGGGCAGGGAAGATGCAGTAGCTCTTCCCCACAGGTTTTGCAGACCGCTGGCTCAGCAGGTAGACCAGCGGAGCCCCTCCAGGCTCTCACTTCCCTTTCCTCCCTTCTTTCTCCAGCCTTACTAAAGATCACAGGAAGAGACCAAAGTATAATAAGCTACTTGTGAGTACCTGAGGCCCTCCCCACCCTCACACCCTACCGCCTACTCATCTGGACACCCAGGGCCTGGGTGAGGCCAGCAGCTGCCCTTGTTCTAAGCTCCCCCCTCCGGCCCTGCAGGAACACAGCTTCATTAAGCGTTACGAGACGCTGGAGGTGGACGTGGCGTCCTGGTTCAAGGATGTCATGGCGAAGACCGAGTCACCGAGGACTAGTGGAGTCGTAAGCCAACACCACCTGCCCTTCTTCAGGTAGCTGCGTGGCGGTGGCCAGCCCCACTCGGGGGGGAGGCCAGAGAAGTGGCCACAGGTCCCCTCTTCCCTACCCAGCCACCCAGCTGCCCGCCACGGGAGACCTGGGAACTGGATGGCCGCCGAGGGCTGAGGACAGAAAGTAGGGGATGCCAACCCAACCCCGACTCCCTACCCAGCAGCCATGGACAGATGGGCCCACCAGGCCCTAGCCCTTCCAGTCCTGGGGTCAGCCGGCTGTACAAGTCCCCCCAACAGACACTGTGAACAGAAGACAGCAGCAGGCCATGAGCAGACTTGCTATTTATTCAGTTGTAACCCCTGGGCTGGGGTGGCCACCAGGGGCCAGGAGAGAGTCACCCTTCTTGCATCCTCCCCATGCTGTCCCTTCCACCTTTGTGGTACACATGCTCCCTGTCTCTATCTGCCTCTGTCACCTCCCTTGATGCCTCTCTGGTTTTCCCTGTCTCCCTTCCTGTATCTGCCTCTCTCCTGGCCCAAGCCCAGGCTCTGTTACCCACAGCAGGACTCCTCGGTCCACTTAGGTCTGTGGTGAGCAATGAGTCCTTTGGCTGGCATCCTCGTCCCAGGAAGGCAGGCTGGGCATTATGACTGCAGCTGACCCAGGCTGTGGGGGCTCTGGCGCTTGTGCGCGCGGCTCTCTCTCTCTCTCTCTCTCTCTCTCTCTCTCTCTCTCTCTCGCGCGCGCGCGCTTGTGCGAGCGGCGCTCTCTCTCTCTCTCTCTCTCTCTTTCTCTCTCTCTTTGATCTCAGGGGGTCCTTTTTGGAATTTATTGTATTTTATTGTACTTGGTGGGGTGTTTGGGGGATGGGGGAGGAAGAAGAGCTTGTTCTCATGGGGTTTGTCAGTACCTTCAGAAACTTTTACCAAAGTCATGTTTAGCTGCTGTGGTATAGCCCTCAAGCTCCTGTGGGCATTGGGGGGTTGGAGCCAGGTAGAGGCCTGGGCCACTGTGCCTTGTCAGCCTGTTCTGGAGAGACTATTCCCAAAGGTGGGGGCTGGGGGTGGGGCTCCTCCCTTGGGGCTGGAGACTGGCCACAGCTTGGGGTGAATTGAGGACCCCAGGCTGTGTGGAGGAGCCCACAGGGCTGTGGCCACACAGGGTGGCCTTCAGGGAAGGTGGGTATGGGGCATGGTGGGAGGCAGTAAATGCTGCTATGGCAGGAGAAGGGAGTGAATGACAGTAGTGGGGGTCACAAGGCCCAGGGAGGCAGGGATTGAGTGTATAGGGAATGGATGTGGGGGTTCGAGGATGTGTGACAGGGACAGAAGTGGAGCGGGCCTAGGGCTGGGGGTGTGAAGGCAGTCATGCCCTCACAGTGCCCCTGAGCATCCCTCAACTTCCCCAGAGCTGGCCAGTCCCCAGCCCACCTTGAGGATAGGCCATGGGGCCCCTCTCCCCCCCACACCCCTCAGCAGCAGTCAGAGCAGGAAGGGGGGTGTTTCCTTTTTTGTTGGTGATGCATGCAAATCAGTGGACAAACATACACACACCAACCAACGCCAAAGGTGATGAACTCCCTGGATGTAGCTGGAGCAATGTAGACTCAGCATAGGCATCACTGTAACCTCTCTCTATCCTATTGACTCTTGTTACTCTTAACATAGTCACAAAAGGCCGCATGTTTAAAAAGTACTCCTTGTCTTCTCTCTGCTCCCCCCAGGGGGTTGGGGTGGCCACCTTTCTTGCCCAAATCCCCCTTGTGACTGGATGGGGCAAGGTAGAGGTAGGTGGGCAACAGGCCTGGCTCCACCCTCGGCGGGGGTCCCAGCCACGGGGGCTTTTGCCCATAACCAGAAGGTCAAGTGGCTCGTTCCAGGGGCAACAAAAGTCAGAGGCCGGCTGCCCGGTTTATTTTATTTAACTTAATTTTGTTTATGAGTGTGTGTCTGCCTGTCCCTCCCCTTCAGTGTTAAGTGGGAGCCCTGAGGGAGCCTCTCCTCCCCCCACCCGCCTCTCCCCTGTTTCCTCCCTCTATCTCCAGTCACCAGCCGTCCTTCTGGACCAGGCAGAGGGTTGAGCGGGCAGGCAGGAGCCTGAGGCGACTTGGCCCAGCCCACCAGCCCATGACCCCTTCTCAGGCCACCAGTATTGTCCCTTCCCTTTTTAAAATGAAACACCCTTGTTTGTAAATCCTTAGATGCTTGAGAATAAAACCCCTCCCTTTTCTTCCACTGAGTCTGTGGTGTGACCTGAGCCTTGGCAGGATATGGCATGAGATGTGGGAAGGGTCTGTAAGCCCTGACCTTGAGGTTGGAGGGCTGGGAAGTGGTGAATTCTGGTGGATAAGGTCTCTGCATCAAAAGGGAAACTGAGGCAGGGTTGTGGCTGGGAGGGTGGTCTTTGTAGTGATTTGCCCAACATCAAGCAGGCAGTACGGAGGGACACCCGACCCCCAATAGCCAGAGGTCCTGCTGGAGAAGAGCTCTTAATCCCTGGCGGCCTTGGGGAAGGGCTCTGGTGTCAGCCCCTCAGTCTGCCACCCCCGCTCTTTGCTTCCCGGAGTGGCTGCCCAGCCAAGGACAGGGACACCTGCTTACCTGCTGGGCCTGGGTGCTGCCTGGACTGGTGCCTCTGCCTCTGGCCCCCACACACTTACCGCAGCCAGTCCAGCATGCTGGGTACCATGGTCCTACTGCTGGCCCTGCTCCCAGGGATCTCCACCTTGCCCAGCGGGCCACCTGGTATGTAGGGATTGGGAAATATATATGTCTTCATGCTCCCATTCCTCCGCCACCCTTTCTGAACCTCCATCTATCTTGCCTTGGGAAATGTGTGGGTGGGCAGTGGGGTCTACCCCTGTCCCCCATTTCCAGGTTCTCTGGGATCCCCAACTTCAAAGTTCCCAGCAGCCACGTGAGGCCAAGTACTGTGGGAGGGGAGGGGTCTGGGCAGATACTTTTAGGGAATGTGTATGTGGGCCATCATGAAGCAGACATGTATGCACTGCATGTGCATGTCCTCACTGATTAGAAGACCCCTGTTGGTGTTCCTGGTGCCTCTACCTTTACTGCGATGCCCTCAACCTGAGAGTCAGGACAGACGGAAAGCCTGGTGGCCTGCCTGGGCTTGGGCTGTGCCAGAAGGGCTGTGGAAGAGCACCCCTCTTTCCTTTCCCCCCTTCCTTTGATGACAGCACCTGTCTCCTCTTAGAAAGGGAAGGGTGGGGGCCCCACACTCCTGGCCCTGCTGCAGCTCCCCAGCCTGGAATTCCCTCGCTCACTGTGGGGAAGGAAAGCAAAGCCAGGAAGGGGAGCCCCTCAACCAGGGGCACACAGCTTTGTGCACAGCCTCGCTGCTGGGCTGTGATGCCCCAAGGGTCTCCAGGGAATACATCATAGCTGGTGTCCCACCTGCCTGAACGAGGAGCCTAGCGTGAGTGAATTCTCCACGCAACATTTTCCCGAGGAGGCTAGGAGATTGAATCATTTGCTTGAGGGCCTAAGGGGCAGCCCGCACTCCCTCTGTGCCACTCTTTCTGCCCCGCCAGCGCCCCCCTTTCCAGTGGCGCCCGGGTTGTGGCTGCGTCGACCCCTTTTCAGTCTAGAGCTGTCAGACGCACAGGACGCGTTCCACCGCCGCGCAGGGCCGCTCAAGGTCCCAGCGGACAGCCGCGTGTTCGTGCAGGTGCGGACAGACGTGGGGCAAGCCGGGCCGGCGGGCAGGTGGGCGCAGCTGGATCCTGAAGGCGACACTCCACCCCCAGGCGGCCCTGGCCCGGTCCTCCCCGCGCTGGAGCCTGGCCCTGCACCGCTGCTGGGTGACGCCCTCCTCACGTCCGGCCCCAGGACCCGCCCTGGCGCTACTGCGAGGGGGCTGCCCCGCTGATTCCTCGGTCACCTTCCCGCCACCACGCCCTGGGGCTGCCCGCTTCAGCTTCCGTCTGCGCCCGGTCTTCAATGCCTCTGTGCAGTTCTTGCACTGCCAGCTGAGCCGCTGCCGCCTCCGGGGAACCCACCGGACTCCTGAACCTCTGACGCTGCCGCCCCAGTCGCCGGTGTGCGGGCGCAGGACAGGGAGTCTGGGCTCCTGAGGCCGGTGTGGGGTGGGCAGGATCACCTCCAGCATTGGAAGGAGGAGCCTCTCGGGTTTGGGGAATCTTGGGGTCAGGGCGCTTTGGAGCCTGGGGCACGGGTCCCTTGGAGCTGGGGGTAGATACTGGGTCTCTCCCAGGCCAGGCACAGGGGCCTTGAGGGGCCCCAGGGGCTCCGCACAAGGGTTCCTCAGTGAACAGGGAGTGTAGGCACTGAATTCCTTCATGGCCATAGCACCAGGACCCCCTTGGGTGGGCCTCTGAGGTCCCTCCAAGGCTGGGTGGTTGGATAAAAGGCACTAAGGGGCCAAGTCTCTGGGTGCCTAAAGTTAGAATCCACGATTAGGTGCTCAGAGAGCCGGGTCGTGTGACTTCCTTGAGGGGCTGAAATTTGGAGTCTGGGAGCTGTGCGGCTGGCTGCTTGTATATCTAATGGGCTGGGCTTGGGGACCCCCAAGGGGTCGGATTCACAGGGATCTAGTGGTGGGACTCCTGGTTGCAAAGAGATCTCTCGGGAGCCCTGGGGAGGAGCTCCTGGATCCCGGGCCCTCACATCCCTGTCCCTTCCCTCTCCCCCCCACCCCCACCCCGCTGCAGTGTCTGCCTCAGGAAGAGGCGTGCGCCAGCAGTGGCAGCGGCGAGAGTCTGGGTGCCAACGGCCCCCACCTGCACACACTGACGCAGCCCATCGTGGTCACGGTGCCACGGCCGCCCCTCAGTGAGCGCGAAAGTCCTCTGCGGGGGGTCCCTGGGGCAGGAAAATTGGGGTGGGAGGACTTCTGGGGCCTGGGCCTAGTCTCCGCGTTGTGCTCCCCACAGGGCCACCTAAGGGCGTCCCCGGCATAGCCGTACGCCCTGAGCCTCCTGCGCCAGCCCCGGTGGCCCTGGAGCCCGCACCGTTGGTGGCGCTGGTGGTGGCCGCCTTCTTGTTGGGCGCCGCGCTGGTCGCCGGGCTCGGCCTCGTGTGCGCGCATTCAGGTACCAAGCTTGGCCCGCTCAGATCTTCCCTTCGCCCCCAGAATATTCCAGTGCCTTGGGGTCCGGGTCACTGCGTTCCCAGCTTGCGGAGTCTGGCCATCCTTAGACCTGCCCCCGTTATGCCCGTAGCAGCCCCCAGGGAGCGCCCCTGCACCGGGCCAGCGTTCAGCAACCCCTACTGCTCCGGAGCCTGCCTCTCACTTCCAGCGCCCCCACCTCCCAGCCCACCCCCGAGAGCCTCGCCTAGCGATCCGCAGCCCAGAAGAACCCAGTGAGGCAGGTAAGTGTGTGTGTGTGTGTGTGTGTGTGTGTGTGTAACATAGGGCCCATAGGAGAGCTGGAGGAGGGAGGTGATGATAATGACTTCATAGCGCTTTCTCTGTGCCAGGCAGCCTTCTAAATGTTTACTAATTTAATCCTCATAAAAAACTTTTGGTAGATACTATTAAAATCCCCATTTTAGAGAAGAGAAAAATGAGGCACTCTCTGAAGTTAAGTAATTTATCAAAGGTCACAAAATTTGGTGGAGCTGGGATTCAAACTCAGGCAGTGGGTCACCCGTGGTAGCCTGCGGGCTCTGTGTCTGACAGCACCATGATTCAGACCTAGCATCCTCACCCCCTCACACAGACTAATGAGGGAAGTCATCATCAGCTGAGAGGGAGGTAGCTTTCCTGGTGTCCTCTCCCTAGGGTGGCCTGGGTCGCCCCTTCAAGGGATGGCGCGCCCCCAGCAGAGTCCAGGGACGCACCCGCCAGACTTATGTCGGAGCAGACTCACTAGTCTGGACCGCAGCCTTCGACCTCGGACCCCACGGGACCACGATCCCTGCACCCCGCCCCCTCACTCCTCCCACCTGGACTCAAAATAAACATCTGGTCTGACATGCAGAGCTCTGAAGTATGCTGTGCGCAGGGCTGGGGGTGCGGAGCAGGAAGCGGAGGCTTGGTATCTGGACTGGGAGGGTTCTGGGCTGGCAGAGGCCCCGACTGGAGAGGTAGAGCTTGGGGGCGGGCTCATACACCCATATGCTTGAGTGCAGATAGGGGTCAGGGGAGACCCAAGGGCGTTTTGTCCCAGACAGAAAGGGGCACCCGACCCCCACAGGTTAAGTTTTAAATCCCGCTTTCTTCCTCCACCTCAGCACCGGACCACCTGCCTCTTTAGCTCTTCCCAGATCCAGGCCTTCTTCGCTCTCCACTCGCACCGCCCGGACCCTGCCCTCGCTAGGACCCCGACCTCCGGCCTCTGCTCCTGTCTCCTCTCCCTTCTGGTCTAGAGCTCCCCAAATCCTTCCTGCCCGAGCTTCGAGCTCCCCTGGGCATTGACAAGTGCGAAACGACTAGCTCCATTTTACAGATGAGGAAACGGAGGCTGGGTACAGCTAAATCAGTTGCTCAGGTCCCCAGGGTTGGGCGACCCCACAGCCCAGGCTCTTGGCTACGACTGGGCGGGCAGCTGCCCTTCCGGCCTCTTCGAGAAGCAAATCACACCGCAGGAGTTTCACAAGACTTAGTCCAGAAATGGCGGGAGGGCACGAGATCTAAGTGGCTCCAGTGTACAAATGGGATAAAATGCGGACGGGGTCGTGTTCGCCGCAGCCAGTTCGGATGCTGGCCTCTCTCATTTCGCAGCCACACCCCGCCCTCTACCTCCCAGCGCAGACCACGCCCCCGTCGGCGTCCGCTTCCGCGCGTGCTTTGCGGCCCCAGCGGCCTCCGTAACCCCGCCCCCAGGGGCGGGGCTGGCCGCCAACTCCGCAGACACCGGCATGAAGCCTCCACCGAGGCGACGAGCTGCCCCGGCGCGCTATCGGGGCGAGGTGGCCGGCGGCGCCGTCTGGAGCGCCCTCGAGAAGCGGCAGCTGCTCCGACTCCTGCAGGCGCGGCGGGGCCAGCCGGAGCCGGACGTCGCCGAGCTGGCCGGGGAGCTGCCGGGCCGGAGCGAGGCCGAGGTGACGGGATCCCGGAAGGGAGAAGGCTGGACGCGGACCTGAGATGTGTCCGGGGAGAGGGGGCACCGCGAGTAGGACTAGTGGCGTGACGTGGGCAGGACCAGCGCGAGCCTGGGGGCGGGGCGGAGGCAAAATCGAGGGGCGGGACGCACTGCGAGTGGACTGAACGGAGACCCAGACTGGGCGCACGTGGCGCACTGTGCAGCGGCGCTAGGCGGGAATGAGGTTGAAATATGAATCAGGAAATGGGGTGCAGCGGACGAAACGGAGGTGAATAGGGTAGGACTGCAGGGAGGAGCCAGATGGGCCTGGACCTTACATTTTTATGAGGTCACCCTTGGGTCTGGGCCCCAGACCCCAGGCAGAGTCGCTGTAACCCTTAACGTTGGGCTTTGGCCTCTGCACCCAAGCCTTGGGTTTGTAGAAAGCCCATTTGGTCTCCTTTCTCTTCCCCAGATTCGGGATTTCCTCCAGCAGCTCAAGAACCGTGTGGCCCGGGAAGCCATTCAGAAGGTGCATCCAGGTGGCCTAAAGGGTCAAAGGCGTCGGGAAACACAGCCCCCAGCTCCCATCGAGGTGAGGCAGGGCCAGGCTCCCTGGAAGATGGGTGGGAGTTGGGAGGATAACTTGGTCAGAGGATCCTCAGGAAGGGGGGGACTCCTAAGAGTTGATCCCTAGGCTGACCAGGTACTTTCTCGTTGCCCTACCCAGGTGTGGATGGATCTGGCTAAGAAGATAACAGGCCCACTGGAGGAAGCTCTGACTGTGGCTTTCTCACAGGTACAACCATCCCCTAGGGAGGCCAAGGGTGTCCCTAGGGACAAGGTCATACACACACACACACACAAGAGCGTAAGTAAGGTATGGATGTGTCCTGGGCCCTTCCTCTTGCTAGCTCTGGCCAATCACTGGACACCTTGAGCCTCAGTACCCCTCCTCTGAGGCCATCTTCTGTATGTGACACCTTCCTTGGGTGAGCGGGTGGAGAGCTCAGCACAGTTAGCAGGGCGGGGGTGGTGACTGAAGGGAGGACTTATGCTTTTCCCTTCCTGATCTGTCTGCCTGTCAGGCACTCACCATCATGGCCGTGGAGCCCGTCAGCCTCCTGTACTCCAAGCCGTCCAAGCCTACACAGGCACATGGAAAACTACTGCCCCTTAACACCCCTAGCAGACAAGAGAACCCGAGCCCTGAGGCTTCTGGCCCCACCCCTGAAGCAGCTGCTGGCCCCTCTGCTGAGGGAGACCTCGAAGTGGATTTTGAAAAGATCTACAAGTACCTGTCATCCATCTCCCACAGCTGCCATGGCCCTGAGCTTTCCCCAGCTGGTGAGAAGAAAGGGGGAGGGGGCTATGGTGGTGGGGTCCAGGCAGCAAGTCCTGACCTCCTCTTACCCTTCCCCTCGCCATCCACCACCAGAGTCAGCTGTGGTCCTTGACCTGCTCATGTCACTTCCTGAGGAGCTGTCTCACCTGCCCTGTGCAGCCCTGGTTGAGCATATGATGGATACATACCTACATCTGATGACCCCCCAGTCTGACCCCAGCGGTGGGAACCTGGGACCGGGAGCTGAGGTTTGTGGGACTGGCTCTAGGGGGCAAGAGGAGTCCAGTCAGGCCACCCCCCAGGCCCCTGAGAATGCCAGGCCTAGCAAACCGAGATCTGCCTGGCAAGTAGTTGGCGTTTGCCCCCTGAACCCATTTCTGGTGCCCCTGGAGCTTCTGGGCCAGGTAGCTACCCCTGCAAAGTGAGGGTCCCAGCAGACAGAGCACACACCAGACATCTGTGAGCTCCTGGCCTTCACTTCTGCTTGGGCTGGCACTGGGTATTCATGAGGATCTGGTCCTGGTGGAAAGTCCCTCACTCAGTGTGCAGTGCCACGTGGCCTTTAGGACATTCCAAACAGCAGGGGTTTCAGAAATGGAAGCCCATTTGTACAGGAGTTCAGCCACAGATCTTAAGTGGGGGCAGCCAGATGGCTGGGATAAAACCACCATCAAATACTGCCTCTCCTCCTCTCCTGCATTCTTTTGCTTATACCCTATAACTGAATAAAATTTTCAATCTGTCTCTTTTTTTTAAAGTTGATTTTAGATAGGGAGAGAAACATCGATTTGTTGTTCCACTTATTTATGCATTCATTGGTTGATTCTTGTATGTTCTCTGACTGGGGATCGAACCCGCAATCTTCGCATATTGGGATGACACTCTAATCAACTGAGCTACCCAGCAAGGGTTGTCTCACTCTTTTTTCTGTGACTTAAAGGTAGCAGAGCCCTGGCTGGTGTTCTCAGTGGTTAGAGTGTCGACCCATGCATCTAAGAGTCATGGGTTTGATTTCTGGTCAAGAGTGCATACCTGGGTTGCAGGTTCGATCCCAGGCCCTGGTTGGGGCACGTGCAGGAGGCAACCAATTAATGTCTCTTTCCCTTTCTCCCTTCCACTCTCTCTAAAAGTCAATAGATAAAATATCCTCGGGTGAGAATTAATAGCAACAAAAAAAGTGGCAGTGGTGGCTCAGAGTACAGAGGGAGATGTTGGAGGTAGGAGAGAGCTTAGGGTCCTGGGGACCGAGGGGCATGCCAAGGAGGAGGGTGCAATCACCAAACGCTACCACTGCCTGCCAGGCTTGCTCCAAAGCTGCTTGGAGTGACCTCAGTTTGACTGAGGGGACCCGTGGTGATTATATAGAAGGTCAAGACAAGCCTTAGCTTGACAGGTGTCAGGGGAAGTTTTTCTGAGCAGGGTGACCTTATATCATACAGATGGAAGGGGGGAGGGCACCAGCAGAGTGAGGTGAGGCTGTGTTGGGCAAAATGAATCTTTGTACTTAACCCAAACAGTCACCAGGACCACCAGTTCACCCCAGAAGGGGTGGGCCCATATCACCGGAAAGGAATGTTCTTGCATCACAAGTGGGTCTGTTGCCACTTGGCTGTCTATATCACACTTCCCTCCCCTGCTGGTATGAGCCACTTCTGTCCGTAAGTTCCCTTATAAACTCTTTAAAAAAATATATATTGATTTCAGAGAGGAAGGGAGGAGAGATAGAAACATCATAAGCATGATGTTTCTCCAGTGGGCCTGTTATCTTCTTAGCCAGATCCATCCACACCTGGGTAGGGCAACGAGAAAGTACCTGGTCAGCCTAGGGATCAACTCTTAGGAGTCCCCCCCTTCCTGAGGATCCTCTGACCAAGTTATCCTCCCAACTCCCACCCATCTTCCAGGGAGCCTGGCCCTGCCTCACCTCACATCAAAGCCAGGGGTATTGAGGTGGTAACCAATGGACATAGACACCAGGGGGGTGAGGGCATAAACGGGAGTGGGGTGGGGGGCAATGGGGGGATAAGGACACATATGTAATACCTTAAATCAATAAAAAATATAATAATTGCTGGGCCTCGGCCGGGCTGGTGTTACTCAGTGGTTGAGCATTGACCCAGGAACCCAGAAGTCACCTGTTCGATTTCCTCATCAGGACACATGCCCGGGTTGTGGGCTTGATCCCCAGTAGGGAGTGTGCAGGAGGTAGCTGATCGATGATGTTTCTCTCTCATCGACGTTTCTATATCTCTATCCCTCTCCCTCTAAATCAATAAAAATATTAAAACAAACATGCTTATGATGTTTATTTAATAAAATAAACACATCAATGATGAGAATCATTGATCAGCTGCCTCCTGCACACCCACTACTGGGGATGAAGCCTGCAACCAGGCATGTGCCTTTGACCAGAATCCTTCAGTCCACATGCCAACGCTGTGTCCACTGAGCCAAACCAGCTAGGGCCCTTAGTAAACTTGATGTTGCCCAAGGCTGAGGGACCCCAGGGTTAGGGGTGTGCTGTCCCATGTTGCAGGTTAGAGAGAGGGTCTTCTGAGCTAGCCTTGGGGAAGCAAAGGGAGGAGGAGCAGAGCTGGGGAGAGTAGGGAGCTGGAGTCCCACCTGTTGTCAAAGGCCCCAAATTCCTGGAGGTGCTTTTGGGTTTCCTTGCAAGGGGGTCCCCCCTCTACAGCCTCCAAGGGTGTGGGTTCAGGGGAGGGCAGGACAGGAACCAGTGTCCTTCCACGGAATGGCATTCCCCCAGGCTTAACTAGTCCTCTGAGAGCCCCAAATTTTCTGTTCCAAGAGTCTGTGCATTCACTCAGCCTTCCTTTTATAGAAACCCTCACTTCTCCCCACACACATTGCACACGGCTCTCCTGGGACACACAGCACATTTCCTAGGTGGGTTGTGGAGTCAGCCCACTCCATGATTGGGACCCCCCTCCCCCCGCCACACACACACCAGACCCACGGGTTCCCAAGGGCACATGATGATGATCGGAAGGAGGGACCAATGTCAGAGGGGTTTGGAGCTGAAGATGTAATCATCGCAGCAGGAGGCCATGCCAGTTCTTGTAGGGCTGGCTGAGGGCACCCCATCCCCACTGCACTCAGCTAAGTCCATTCCCCAGAGTCTCCCTAAGTCAAGGGAAAGAGGAGGGTGTCTTGGCTGTGCCTGAAGCCAGGGGTATTGAGGTGGTAACACACCAGTCCCCCAAAGTATGGGTCTAAATGTCTTTGCAGCACTGGGCAGGAATGCTAACAGCTTTCTGCTTGGCTCAAGTAAGCACTCAACAATAGCTTTTATTATCACCATCTACTCAGAAACAGGAAGAGTAAGAAGGCATGAGGAGGGCATGGGGGGCGGGGGCAGGGAGATGGTGTGGGGCATGGCAGGAGGGATCAGGGGTAGGTGTCAGTATTGCCAGTGACTGGCATACGGAGGTGGTGACCGAGGGAGGGGTGTGCAGATTACTAACAGGCCTGGGCGGGGGGTGGAAGTGAGTCTGCCGGGCTTTGCCCCCACGGAAGGTGCCAAACATCCTGGACACAGCAGCCATTGTTGCTCTTCAGGCTCGGTCTCAGGGCAGGCAGCACTGGGCATATTCTACCCCAAGGAGGGGTTCAACACGGGGGAGGGGCGGGGGATGGAGTAGTGGGATGGCCAGACGACATGGGAGGGGGGAGACAGAGGGGTCCCCGCATCCAGGAACGCACATACCATTTATGTTGGAGGCTGGACAACAGCAGAGCCACCTACACGCTAGGGGGGGTGGGGGGGTGGGGGTGGGTGTCAGTGAGTTTTGGGGCGAGGACAGGGAGGGATAAAGGCACCAAGTGGGGCTCGGGCTTGTCTGGGAGGGATGATGGGAGAGGCCTGCGAGTATGGAAGGTGTCTGGGCAGGGAGGGGCTGGACTTCTCATGCACTCCTCCTTTGGCTGGGCTCTGGGGTGGGATCCCGAGCGCGGTCAGGCCGACAAAGGGCCACCCAAGGGTGCCGTGGCTCAGACCAGCGCGTAGTCGAATTGGCCACGCTCGAGCGCCTCCTTGTGGTCGGTCCAGGACGAGGCGGGCATGCGGCTGTAGGGGTCGAGTAGGATGCGCACGCAGCGCACCATCAGCAGCACCAGCACCACGAGCAGGCAGAGCACGAAGGCGAACACTGTGCGCTGCTCAGCGTCCAGGCCCACACCCGCCGGGGGCCCCGTCGACGGCGGCAGCGGCTCGGGGGACAGCGTCCAGGTCGTGCTCATGGCTCACATCCCCGCGAGTCCTGCGGACAAGAAGTCGGCCCTGGGCGCGGGGATGAGGCTGTGCCTTCCCACATCGCCCTCCTCCACCCACCTTGCCCGTCCCCCCTCTCCGGTCTCCAGGCAATGCCCATGCCCCACCAGTAGGCATATCACCACGCGGGGACCCAACTCCGCACAGGTTGGGGAGCTGAGAGCGGAGACGGAGCCCCGACCTGGCCAGCCAGCACACAACAGGTGCAATCGCGCAGCCCTGGGACGCGGCATGGGATCCTTCCCCGTGCCCTGCTCGCTGTCATTGTTCTCGGCGTCCCGGGGACTCCTTTGCCCCACCACCCGTGCCTTTCCCCTCACCCTGGCCTCGACCGCGATGGGGACCGAGCGCCTGGCAGCCGTGTTCTCCTCCGGGACCCGCGCCGACTCTGCTCTCGGCCTCTCCCAGGCGGTGGTGACGGCAGTGGCGGTCGGGACTCAGCCCACCCCACCCGCTCCAGAAGCGGCAGAGACCGAGGCGGGCGAGGCGCGAGTGAGCCTGGCAGCCGCTGCTGTTTCCATAGCGACGGGGGCGGAGGCTGCGCAGGGAGCGGCGCACGGCAGCGACCCCGCCCCGGCCTCAGGATCACTTCTCAGGCCCAGCTCAGCTGCAGGCATCCAGGATCCCCACCCCTACAAGTACCCCAGATGCTCCGCCCAGATCTTAGCCCCTGCACTCCCTCAGCCCTAGGGATCCCAACCCCCAGACAGTTCATGGGAAAACTCCCTCGCTTTTCTTCTCACTGGTCCCCCCACCCCCACCCCCACCCCCCAGGAGTGCAGGGTCCTAACCAGACAAGGCATCCTTCTAGGTCCACAGTTTCTTCAGTGACCTTGACTGCTTCCCGTGACCATCTTGCCCACCCAGCCACACCAGTGACAGACATCTCAGACCACTCAAGTTGCTCTCCTGCACTTTGGTGTTTTATTATCACTTCCAAATCTCAGTCATACAGGTTAATAAGGGCACTGTTAAATTTTTTTTTAAATGAAGCTAAAACGGCCTCGATGATATGGCCAGTGGGCCCCACCACCTGTCCCCAGAGGAGTCCCTGGGCCAGAGCCTCTTCCTCTTGGCATTGTCTGGCCAGTGTGCCTTGTTGACTTTCCCTGCCAGCAACCCCTGAGCAGCAGAGGGGGGTTCAGGGGCTGGCACTGTGGGGAGCAGCCCTCTACAGTTGCTGGCCATTCCCGGTCCAGCTGGTTCTACAACCACCCTAGCAGAGAGCAGTCCAGAGCTGACAGTCGTCCCCAGAGGTCTATTGCCACAGCTGGACATTCCCACCCTGTGCAGCTGCCCTGCGATGTACAGCCTGGAACCTCCGGTTGTGGCTGCCAAGCTCAGAGGACCTGCTCTGTACTGGAAGCGGAGATGTCCAGGAGCCGCCAGGCCGCATAAGGGTTGAGCTCATCCTGGTCCCGGCACAGTGCCCACACGTACAGCATGCGTAACACCTTGTCCTGCAGGAGTGGGAATGGGTATGAGCCTGGAGGCAGAGAGCAGCACAGCAGAATGAAGCTGCCAGGTCAGGACATGGGGGACACTGGGGGACCAGGGAGAGGTGTTGGAGTGTGGGTCTGGGGTCCAGAACAGAGGCTGGGACAGAGGCTAAAACTCAGGACTTGGTAAAACTGGACAAGTCAGTTGCCTTCTGACCTCCACCAGACCCAAAACAGGCCCTGGGACTTTTCAAGGTGCCATCCTGCTGTCCCCTCCCAGTCACAGAACTTCCTGGCTCTGAACTGCCACCTGTGTAGGTGGCTGGCCACTGCCATCCAACTGGTCCTGGGCTGGCTGCCTGCCCTGTCTAGCCCCCTCCCTCACTCACCGGGTTGCCCTCGACCACCTCGCCTTTGGCGTTCTTGATCACCATCACCAGCTGGGCGTGGAAGGTGACAATCAGCACGGGGCCCTGCTCCATCATCTTGCCCATGGCCAGCTGTGGGGGGAGCCAATGGGGTGGATGGGTATCACTGAACAGTCCCCCACCAATTCCCTGTTGCTCCCCTTGATGTGGAGACCCCCGTGTCCTGGGATGCTGCCAGGAGGAGCAGGGCACCTCAACATCTCAACTCATCACCCTGGAGGGACTCCGAGGAGCCACCCCAATCAGTACTCCAAGCCTGTCACCTCCTGCTGGCCTGTTTCTGTGTAGGCATTTCCCAGGAAACCCTTCCCATGGACAAATCCAAACCCTCTACTGTGAGATGGAGTCTGAACTTCTGAGAACCCATGAGGGCTCCCAACACCCTGGCAGCCTCTTGGTCCCCAGACTGGGGCTGTGCGGGGTAGGGGGTGGGAGGGCAGCACACGCAAAAGGACCTCAGAGTTGGGTACCTCATACACAGGTGGGGGGAGGGAGGTTGGCGCTGGCATGCTTTTAGCCCAGAACAGGGAGGAAACGGGGGTGATTGTGGCAGAGCAGGTCTTTGGCAGCTGAGAAGTCCTGACAAAGCCCCCACCCTTCCTAGAAGGTGCAGGCATACCATCACCTTGGGGGACTCTGGGACCCTGATATCTGGGCAGCAGCAGCCCTTATGCCTACCACTTTCCTGAGAATATTCCAACCATAGGACTATGGAAAACTTTCACTGCAAGGGACCCTTGAGATCATTTAATCAAGGTGCCCACCTGTGATGGAACTCCTCCAGGGATGGGGAGCTCACTCCTCATGCTGATCAGTATGCTTTCCCAATCCCAGGGGACACCCAGCCCACCCGGAAAGTCACTTACGTCGACATTGTCAATGTCCAAGATACGGGAGTGGAACTGGAGGCCCAGCGCCTTGGCCTGCTGGATTGGGTGGGCCAGCTGGCTGTAGGTCTGCAACAAGAGGCCAACGTGCCCATCTGAGGACCACCCAAGACCAAGCCACACCAAGGCGCCACACCACAAGAGAGGGCTGGTGCACCGCTAATGCCTGCCCACCTTGGGCAGGTGCCAGCCTCCCAGAACATGCTTACTGCAGGCGGCTCACGAACAGAATTTCCTGATTTCAGCTCTTGCACCTTCCAGAAATGGCCACAGTGCCTGGGTGTGCTACGCCAGGAGCAGCAGATGCCAGGAGCATGGGTCCAAGTACAGAGGCTGGAGCCAGCCATTGCTGGCCCAAGTCACACACTTCCTTCTTATTATAAAGACAGAGCTGTCAGGACCACCAAATGAAAGTGGTATTAATCAGCACAGTAGGTAACTCCTCTGGAAAGCCACCTGAAATGCACTCCAGGGTTAAGTAGAGGCCTGCTTGGCTGATCTTAAATGCTCCCACATTTATCTCACTCCAAGTCTTGGCCTGGAATCAAACACTTCTAGGATTTGCCCTAACCCATGGGTGGCTTTGAAACTAACTGCTTTGTTCTCACCGACTAGCCCTTTGTAGGTAGCTGACCATCGCAGGCAGCCTGCTCTCTCTACGGGGACAGTGGCGCCCCAAGTGACACTCTTAATCCCCTCGTGCCTATTCCCACACCCAAAACACAGCCTCTGGGACATGTGCAGCCTCATATCACAACAGGCAACCACAACAGAAGACATTCCAATAGAGAGAAAAATATGGGGCTCTTAAAGATGACATTTAAAAAACACCTCTGTGAGCAGCTATAATCTCAGCTGTGTTCCCAGGGGCACCAGCAGCTCTCTGGCAAAGAGAATCCGCCATGTCATAATGGTTCCAAAGCAAAAACAAAAAACAAACAAATAAACAAACAAAAAACACACCTTGTACTGACTGTTGGATTAGTCACCATGCAGGGGTGTGTTTAAAAAGAAAATCTAACAATTTCTCTGCTTTTTCCAAGTTGTTTTTGAGCTGGCACAGAACAGAATCGACCAAAAAAAGCCTCTGGATTGCTTAATACAAAGAAAATGGAAGCAAACACCCCATGAAGTCACAGGTCAGGAAGTGAGCAGGGTAAGGCGAGGTGGCGGGAGAAGATGGAAACCCTGAGGAGATGAGGCGGTTGCCAGGAACAGGGCAGACAGTGTAACACCTGACCCACCTCCTCATAGTCTAGTACTGCCTGTGGCCCTGGGACCCCTAACCCTGACCCCGGGGGAGCAGTGGGGCCTCATCAGGACCCATGGCTCCTCCCCAGGCAGGAAATTTTATCAATGTCTATTTTGATCTGTGTTCTGGGATCTTGAAGCAAGAATAGCTAATGAACTCATCTGGTGCTTTGTGTACCCTGGAACACTGCTTCTGTGTTCAAGCTGTACCCCACAGAACGGGGACAACGGTGTGACTCTGGCTCAGGAAAGGAGGTGATGGAGGCCTTTGGGGCCTCCAAATGCTCTTTCTCCAGCACCCATGGGCTCCAGGGGAACATCTAATGCAGCTCAGAGTTATTCATTGTCCATTTCCACCTGACCCCTGGGCCCCCAGCCTATACCTCAGGCCATCCTGGCCACGAGACCTTGCTACATGTCACTTAGGGCCACCTAAAACAGGGCAGATAGGCCACACTGAAAACTCACCTTACTCAGATGCTTCTCTTATCATCACCTTTCTCTCCTATGAGCCTTCTTAAACCAGAATTAGGATGGAGGAAGGGTTCTGGATGACAAGGCAGGAGGACTGACCTAGTCCCAGGCCATCCTTTAGGCCAAGTAAGGGAAGAAAGAGCAAGCTGGAAGGACCATGCCTGACTAGTTTACTCTAGAACAGTGGTTCTCAACCTTCTGGCCCTTTAAATACAGTTCCTCATGTTGTGACCCAACCATAAAATTATTTTCGTTGCTACTTCATAACTGTCATGTTGCTACTGTTATGAATCGTAATGTAAATATCTGATATGCAGGATGGTCTTAGGTGACCCCTGTGAAAGGGTTGTTCGACCGCCAAAGGGGTTGCGACCCACAGGTTGAGAACCGCTGCTCTAGAAGGACCAGCCACCAGGCCCTCGGTGAGTCTTGCAGGTTATGTGGTATGATGTGCATAAGGGACAGAAGGATCTGTGCCTCTGAGCATGTCAGACATAAGAACCTCCCTTTAACCAGGACACCAGGCCCTGTCATGCCTTTTCCAGACCAGCTGCTTAGCAGATCTCCTCCAAACTGTGATTTCTATTTAGGCCTAAATAGAGAAAAAGAAAAGTACTCACAGCTTCATAGCACCAGTCTTTGAGAATGTCAAGCTCTCCAGAAATCATGGCCTAAAAAGGAAAAGACAAAAAAAAAAGTAAGAGAATGAGAGTGGGCTTTTGAGGCAGAATATTGAAGGATGTTCTCCAATGAGATCCTTTCCTCAGCAGACCCCTTTGTGGTGGGGTCTGGTTGAGGAAGGATGGGGAAGTTGAGTCAGGCTGCAGCAAGGGGTGCCATCTCCCCAGGCCCCTGGGAGCAGAGCCTCTGCATGTGGCCCAGGGTGGGTCTCCAAAGACCTGGTAGAAGGAAGAGGAAGGTGGCAGTATGCCAGGCTCTCACCCTGGCAGGGAAATTGAACCAAGGAGGTGAGAAGCTGCTTTCTGCTTCCCCTGGGGATAAAGCTTTGGATGGTGAGGCTCATATAGGGAGGGGGGAATAGGGGCTGATTCCAGGAACCTGGAATCAGGGCTGAGAGGAGCCCAGAAAATGGAGAGGGGGCCAGGTGCCTGTGGGAAACTGTAGGTAGGCTGAGTGCTGAGCCACCCTTACCTTGGAAGAAACTGCCTGAGCTTGGACTGCTGCTTTCAGGAATCACCCCACTCCCACCTCTGCCCAGCCCAGCCCAGCCCAGCCCAAAGTGGCATGAGGGACCTGGGCAATCAGAGGAGGGAGAGGGGACCACATGGAGGCTGGTGGGAGGGAGGTGACAGGCAGAGAGTACAGGCATCCACATGAAGTGAGGGCTTTTCTTTCATCCTACTAGGGGCCTCCCAAAGGCCTGGTTTGGCTCGGCTAGAGGTTGGGGGCTGTAAATGGGTAGAGAAAAGGCAGCTGACAGGGACAGGGGCCTCATGGAGGGTGGGACTTTGAGCAAGCCACCCCATCCTCACTTCTGAGGCAAAAGGAGGTGCAAGGGGAGCAGAAAATGGGATTCAGGATTCCTAGGGAGACCTACAGGAAGAGGGAAGAGAGCCCCCTGCTGCCACAGTAGCCCTGGTCTGGCTCCATGTCTTGAGGATCTGGTTGGAGCTCACATGCACCCCCCCAAGCCTTCCTCATGGCTCACCCCAAGAGCCAGCAGCCAGCTTCTCCCTGACTCCTGAAAGGCCTCTAGCATCTGGAAGACAAACACCTGACCCGACAGCCACAAGGGAATAGCTTCAGGCAGAGAACATGAGGGAAACGAAATGGAAAGGGAGACTGAGTCCTAGAGGCAGACACACGCCGTGGGTCAGGGCCACCACCACTAGGACCAGAGGGGGCTATGGGCAACAGATGCCTTCTCAGAGGTATTTGATGGACAAGGCCTGGGAGTGGGGTGCTCAGGCTCTGAAGACTGAAGCCTCATCTCTGCTGAGAAAACACTCTCCTTAGCTAAACATCCCTGGGGGAACTTTCTGATCTGGTCTCAGGTTGGTGGTACACCAAAGGCAGGGCAGTGAGGACAGGACACCTGAGGACTGGCCTTCAGGGTTGGGCACCCACCTCCAGGACGTTGGGGATGATGTCATTCTCACACTGCTGCAGGAACCGCTCCTTGTCAAAGGCCGGATCCACACGTAGGATCTCCGTGAGCACCTCGGACATCTCTGTCTTCGAAAACAGACCCCCTGGGGGCAGCCAAGCCTGGAGTAAGTAGGGGTGCTGGGAACCCCTCCCTGCTGTCAGCCCAGCGGTGTGGGGATGGGGCAAGATGGTCCTGAAGCCACCCACTCACCCAGCAAGTCTGTGACCTTATCTGTCAGTGCACGGGAGGCCCGGATGAGTGTGTTGTCACTCTCGTCATACCTCATCTTCATCTCGAAGAACCCTGAGGAGACGGGTCAGGGGTCAGGGGTCAGGGCTCCCTTCCAGAAACATATGCCTCGGCCTGACTTCTGGGAGCTCCTCGTGGTCTGTGTGACTGCTCCAGACACAGGCAGGGTAAATGAGAAGACCACTCTTGAGCTTGCTTCCTCAGCTATGCAGACTGGGCAGCCAACCTACCTCAGGGGCTGCAGAGACCACTCAGCTGTGGGCCTGGGGGTGGGGGTAGGGGATGCAAACAAGGAAACACAGCCTCTAGGATGGTGTGGCCCCACTATGTCAGCATCTGGGAAGCTCCATGCGCCAACAAGAGCAGATAACTCCAGGGCCCCGAGTAGGCTTGGGCTCTATCTGCACCAGGGTTCCTGGCCTTCTGGCCTTCCTAATGATGAAGTGTCTCTCAGTATCCACAGCTACATCATCAGGGAGGACACTGTGCCTAGTCACCCTGCTCTGACAATGGCCAAGAGGGTGACCCAGCCCTAATGGCAATGTCCCTGCCCACTGGCCACCTCGAGGCCAGTGCCCCACTGCTCACTCACTGAGTAACCCTGCAGAAATCAGTGGTCCTCTCTGACTCCAGTCTCCTCCTCTGTAAAATGGGGGTCGGCTGTGCCAAGCCTGAGGAGTGCTCAGGAAGTGTCCCCTGTCACAGCCTTGCTGTCAGCCATGTGTTGGTGACATGAACACTCACGGTTGAACACCACATTGTTGTCCCTGAAGTCCTTCCACTGCTGATACCACTTGGAGTCCTTGTGCAGCACGACTCCCAGGGCATCCCTGGAGAAGATGGGGTGGTTGGTGAGCAGTTGCTGGGGAGTCACTGGGCCCAGGCCCATTGCTGTGGGGAGGAGGGCCCAAGCTCAGGGGCTTTGGTGACCCCATCCTCATCCCTCAGCTTCCTGTCTTCTCTATTCCCCTTCCCACCTCCTACCCTCCCACAAATTCTCTCAAGGGAGCCAGAGAACCTGGAGCAGAAAACAACTCAATAACTGACTTGTGTGGAACTTTTGTGAGCCTGAAGGGGAGGCAGTGAGGAGAATCCCGGGCCAGGCGGCCTGGTACCTACTCATTGGGCTCAAACACTTTCTCTTCCTTGAACTTCTCTCCAGCAAACTCCTTCCTTTTCCTGAGCCGTTCGGGCCTGCGGTAGGGCCCGGTCTGGCCCAGGACACTTTCATCGATCTCCTTTTTCACTGACTCCACCCCCTGGAGGAGAGTAAAGCTTGGGGTGGGTACTGGGGACCTTCCTGACACCCACAGATCAGTCTCAGTCGGTGCACAGTTGTGTCTAAAATCAGGGAGTGTATGCTGTGAACCCCAACCTCAGGCCCGATGGTACCCTGGGGCCTCCCCTTCCCCAGGTCTTTTGGTCACCTGGCCCACATCATCCACCTGGCCTAGCAACAACATGCCTGAGACTCCAAGGGCTGACTTCTGCCCCCTCCCCTTCCAGGAGCAGCAGACATGCCTTCCCCCGCACCCAGATGACCCTCAGATTCTGAGACCCATACCCCACTCTCCCTGGAACCAGGCGGGCATCCTAAGTTCTGCCTCTGCCCCACTCTCCCGATTCAAGCAGACCCAAAGTCTGTGGGTCCACCTCCCCAAATCTCTCGAACCCATTTCCCCTCCCTCCACCCCAAGGACAGCTCCATCAAGGCCTCCCAAGACACTCTCAGGACTCCTCTGTGCCGGTACCAGAGTCCAGACTGGAAAGCTGTGCCTCTTCCACACCCAATACAGTCATACTTCAGTTTATTGCACTTCACACATATTGTTTTTTTATAAATTAAAGGTAAGACCCTCTACCAGTAAAAAGATTACAACTTGCTGAAGGCTCAGATAATGGTATTTTTTTTAGCAATAAAAAATTAAGGTCTATACATTGTGATTTGAGACATAATGCTATAGCACATGTAACAGATTACAGTACAGTGTAATGTAACTTTTGAATGCACTGGGAAACCACACCACTTCTATGGCTGGCTTTATTGTGATATTCACTTTAGTCAATGGTCTAGAACCAATCCTACAATATCTCTGAGGTCTACCTATATCCTTCTTTGGTTCCTTGTCACTTTCTGGAGGAAACCTTAAGTCCTCTGGGTGGCCTGCAGGACTGTTCCAATGGTCTCTGCTTTCCCTTGGCCTCCCTCTGAGACCCCTGCATTTGCTCTGACTATGCCAGGTGGCGAGGGATATACCAAGCAGACTGTACTTGCACCCCTCCACAGGACCGGCTCCCTCTGTCTACAACCCCTTCCCTGTGTGTTTCTCTGTCACATGTCACTCAGGAACTGCCTGTCCCCTTTTCTGTCCCCCCAAACCCTTCGAGAGTCGGAACTCGGACTTTGTCTTCTGTGGCTCCTGTGGCCAGCAGAGGCCCTGGCATGTGGTACGGTTCAATAACTGTTACTGGAATGAATTCAGGACCTCAGTCACCCCCAGTGCAACAGAACTCTGGGTTATGGACATTGCTTAGGGTGTTAGCAGCTGAGAGTGTGCGAGAGGCTCTCTCAGTGCATTAACCTGAAGCTCCATAGGGGCTGTGACTTGCCGAAGGTCACCCAGCCAGGAGGCAGCAGGACCTGAAACCTCAAGTGGGCTCTCCTCACCAATCCCACTGCACTCCCTTCAGTGCAGCCAGCCTTCTCTGGGGTTGAGCTCTGAGGTGGGAACCCTGGCTCTCAGCTTCAGAGAGGGCCAGAGCCCACGCAGGCCCCAGCATCTAACTCACCTGGGAGAAGGCTTTGAAGGCCCCACCCTTGGACACCGACTCAGCAGACTGCTTGGCAGTCTTGGCTGCTTCCTCCACACCCTCCTTGATTTTCCGGCCAAGGTCACTTTTACTGACTTCGTCAAGACTCTACTGAGACAGAAAAGGGAGAGGGTGTCAGCGCAGTACCCTTGGAGACCCACAGGGGCGCCCCTGGAACCAAGGCCAGTCCTTAACCTCCAAAGGGTGGGTGGGAACAGGCACTCTGAACTCATCTGGCTCCTCAGGCCCCAAGACTTAAGCACACACATCTGAGAACACTGCCTATAATTTCCGGGGTGCTGTTCCCTGGGTCATCTGGCCTTTTCCCAGAATGGGTAGGAGCTCCAAGTCTTCATAGAATGCCACAAGAGCAGCAGTCCAGGGAGAGGGAGTGAGAAAGAAAGTGAGGGTGTGCCCAGTATTGGGCCTAGAACCTGCAAAGTCCTGCCTCCCCTCTCCTGCCCACAACAACAGAACCAATAAGAAGAAAGACCCCACACCGTGGGGGGGAAGGCAGGGAATCTCAACCTCATACCTACTCTCCCCTGGGGCGAACTATCCCCTCCCCTTCTGTTTTCAGGCAGGCAGAATAAAACCTTTATTTTACCCTCGTGTCCTGGCTGGTGGACCATTCACTTCTAACTGAAGTAGTAAACTGCCTGGCAGGTGGGCAAGTGTGACTTCCCTTCCTTCCTGAGGGGTGTTGTGTATTTGAACTCTGGAAGCCACCATGCCAGGCTGGCTCTCCCCTTGTTAGCTGCCCAGCTCCCGAGTCATGTCTGCATGACCCCATGGTGGGCACAGATGGGCCATGGGGGCTATGGCAGGAAACTGAGGGACCCAGAGGCCATTACCTCCTTCACAGTGCCGGTGATAGCCCCCAACTTCTTCTTGATCACCTCACTTGTCCGCACGGTTTCGGATTCAATGGTTTTCTATCGAAAGGATGTTGTTTCCTTTTGTTACTATATAGCAGTTACCAGAGAGCCAAAAGACCAAAGAAACATTTTCTCAGCAGCCCCCCCCCTCCCCCAAACGTCACCTCTCCATCCCCCTCTAACCCACCCCACTGCCTGGTCTGTGGGTCTCAGCAGCTGAAGGCCAACTGGGACCCTCCTAAGCACAGGAGGCCTTGGTCCTGAATCTTTCTCTGGGTGGCAGGGGCTGGTCTTGCCTGTCAGCTTGTCAGTATTCTCCTTCCCCACTTTGCCCCCCACCCAGTCACCAGTCACTGCAGCATTTCCCACACCCCAGCCACCCCACCCAACCTTAGCCTGCTCTGCCCCCAAAGGACTCCTCAGCCCAACCCCGACTTTAATGAAAGGGTGTTCTTCCCTTGGGTTGAGTTCCCACACAGGTAGTCACATCTATTTGAGAGATTTGGGGGGACACTCAGAGGGAACAGGGCTTGTACACAGCCTGGGAGGGGGCCTAGGGCAGTGTACCCCCACTCAGTGCAGCTACTTGTTAAGAGGTGGAAATGGTAATTAGTAATTATACAAGCACCCTGAGGCACATTCTATCCATTTCACTCAGAGGACCTATGATCAGGAGGCTCTTAGGAGCAGCTCACCTCAAACCCAGTGCTTGAGGGGTCACAAGGGGTCTTTGGAGCTGGAGATTCTAACCCAGCAGGTAGAGAGGGCCCTGCATTTCTCACCAGCTCCCAGAAGCCAATGCTGTACTATGTCACTACAGAACTGGAAAGCTGGATGATCCATTCTTGTCCCCTAGGCAGCTATCATCACTGAGGTGAACTCAGCTCCACAAAAGCTGCTCTTCCCCCAGTCACACCTGCACTGAGCTCCATGCACTGTCTGGGACCAGGAAAATCCTGGCTCTGAAAGTAAGTGCCCACTGAGGGAGACACAAGCAAAGGGACTCACATATTTCCTTCTGGCTTCCTGGAGCGCATCTGACTCTTCCAACTTCCGGGCCTCATCTCGGAATTTTTTTATACTTTCTTTCATTTCTTTGTTTTTGGCTAACTCTTGTTTGATATTATCTAGCAAGCCGGAGAGAAAGCCTTTTCGGTTTCCAGAAGAATAGGATTTGAACTGGAAAGATGTAAAAGGAATAAAGGATTTTTAATTTTCTCCTTTTTGTTTATGCAGGTTTAACAATACAAGACAAATTTAAAAAGTACAGACATCCAGACAACAAAGTATTATCCTATATAATAAAAGCCTAATATGCAAATCGAACAGCAGAATGACTGGCAGAACGACCGGTCGCTATGATGCGCACTGACCACCAAGGGGCAGATGCTCAATGCAGGAGCTGCCCCCATCCTGCTGGCCCCGACCAGCCATGGCAGTGTGGGCGGGCCAGGCCAGCCAAGGTGGGTGCCAGCGGGGGACCCTACCCATGCACGAATTTCATGCACCAGGCCTCTAGTTTAGCAACAAAAAGAAGTGAGCTATCAAGCCATAAAAAGACCTAAAGGAAACTTAAAAGCATGTTATTAAATTAAAGAAGCCAGTCTGATTCCAACTCTATGAAATTCTGGAAAAGGCAAAACTTTGGGTTTGGGATAAACAGACAGGACACAGGATTACTAGGGCAGTAGAAATTATTCTGTATAATACTATAATGATGAATACAAATGATTATACTTGCCAAAACTCATAGAATGTACAACACAGAGTGATCCTAATGTAATCTATAGACTTCAGTTAATAATAATGTATCCATATCAGCTCACCAGTTGTAACAAATGTCCCACCCTGATACAAGATGTGAATAACAGGGAAATTGTGCTGAGCGGGAGAGGAGGTATATGTGAACTCTCTGTACTTTCTGCTCAATTTTTCTGTGAATCTAAAACTGTTTAAAAAAAAGTCTATTAAAAATAAAACATAATGCCAGGCTCCTTCTCCAACAGAGGAAACACTGGAAAAGAAACAGGAGCAGCTTAGAATCCTCCTGGGGATTCAAACATGCTCACCCAAGGCCAAGGTCAACACCAAAGGGGCTCATGACCCAAAACTGAATTTGAAGAATTCTGTGGCCCCTACTCCCAAAGGGGGCTGGCACAGGGCCCTGTTCTCCAGGCTTTTGGGGCCAGGTAACTTCTTCGTTTGGGGCCACTCCCAAGTTTTGGGACTTACATGTCACCCAAAGGCCTGCACACTGGTCCAAATCTCCCTCTCTTGGCCCATAGGATCACAGTCACCGAGAGCTCAAGCTCAAAATTCCCCTCCACCCAACACACCCAGAGGCCAGACTCTAAAAGAGGCCCTGCTCCAGGAACAAGCCACAATGTTGTACACTGCTTAAGACACAGGGTCAGACAGAACCAGGTTTAGATCCCTGCTTTGGCACTTATGTAACTAAGAGCACGCTCAGAGAAGAGAATGCTTAAAGAATGATTGTGAGAGAGTCAAGTCATAGTGAAGTGGCTGAGTGTGCTCAGCTGCTCCTACCACTTCCACAATGTGTTGGGTATGCTGCCATGGTTGGGGGCTCACTTTACCGATTTCAAGAGCAACTGCCTCCCCGGCCCATCCAGCCCCAGGGAAAGTTTTGACAAGCTCAGGGCTACTCCACAGGAAAGGCGGCCTGGCCTTGTCTAGATGCACCCTGGCAGGCTGCTGTCTTGTCTAGATGCACCCTGACCAGCCTTTCTCTCCACAGGACTCCAAGTTCTAAAAACATCAGGGACTATGCCACCTTGCAGCAGCCCTGACACTCGCTCAGGGGCTACAAACTGCAGTTGGGATTGGACAAGTAAAGGAAAGGGCCACAGGGCCTGTCCCATGCCTGTAACAGCACCAGGAGAGGATCAGGGAGATAAAGCCTGAGCAAGGCAGGCACAGGAAACTAGCTGTCTGCATGGACACAGCTGAGATGAGCCTGGAAAGGAGAGTGGGCTGCCCAGTGCAGACTGGGGAAGAATGTCAGGTTTTGGGCTTTGCTCCCTGGTCGTGAGGCACCAACAGAAGCATGGTTAAAGGGGAGTGACAGGGAGGGCAAAGCTCTAGAAAATGCTAATGTGAAGAACAACATAAAGGATGGGGGAGATGTAGCCTGGAGAAACTAAGCCCCAGGATATGATGGTTGACACTCTGGAGTTGCTCAAATGCTTATAAGGCTGTCACCTAGAAAAGGAACAGCCTTGCGCAGTGAAGGACCCACTGGTAGAAACCACAAAGGACGCCTTTCTAGCCATCAGGTGACACATTGTGCTACTTTGTGAGGCAGGGTTTCTAGCCCTGACAATGTGGAGCACTTTAGGGATATGGAGAAGACTAGGCATTTAGGCTCTGTAACTCCCAAGGCCTTAGATATGGAATGCCTGGCAATATGGGCAACATCCTGGAGCCCTCTTTGTTGTCAACTAGCTCTGATTTTTCAGGCCTCCCCCTCTGTCTGCTTGATCTGAGTTACTCACCAGGGGCAGCTCTCCATTTGGCCTGCGTATCTGATAGGTACCACGGGGTAGTGGCACTAGATTGTGGCTGGACAGAAACTGGACGCCACTGCCGAGGCATCTCTAATTGGGGGAGAAAAGAAAAAGATCCATTCAGATAAGAGGGTAACTAGGAAGTAAATAGGCCACACTAAAAAAGCAGGAGTTGCCTGAGACTCATTTGCCAATTTTTAAAAATATATATATTTTTATTGATTTCAGAAAGGAAGAGAAACATCAATAATGAAAATCAGCCGCCTCCTGCACGCCCCCCAGTGGGGGTCGAGCCCGCAACCCAGGCATATGCCCTTGACTGGAATCAAACCAGGGACCCTTCAGTCTGCAGGATAATGCTCTAGCCACTGAGCTAAACCAGCTAGGGCTCGTTCGCCAATTTTTATCCCATGACTGCCACTTGCTAAACGCTCCACAATCTTCCCAAATTCTGAGAAGCGAGTGGAATCTGGTGGGAAGAGAAAACACTGGATCTCCATCACCAGGGGCCATATCTACCCTCCCACCTCTGAACCTAGGGGAAACTAGATTGGTCCTAGGAAATGCCAATTTATGGTGGAACAAGGCTAAATCCCCAACTTAATCCCTTAGTCTGACAATAGGCAGGCTGAGTCTCAATGCTGATGGCAAGCAGTCTTTTCTCACAAGCCCACCCACTTCTACTGGCCTTGTAAGACCAGAGACCTGGGCATTAAGAGGTAAACACTGATAGCCCTGGCTAAGTAGCTCAGGTGGTTAGAAGAACATTGTCCCAATACGCCAGAGTTGTGGGTTTGATCCCTAGTCAGGGCATATACAAGAATCAACCAATGAATGCATAAAATAAGTGGAACAACAAATAGATGTTTCTCTCTCTAAAATAAATTTTTAAAAAGAGCTAAACACTGATAACTTACTGTACCAGGCACAACCCTGGAATAAACCTACCATGTCCTGGTCCAGGGTCAGGCTATAAGCAGGGCAACTTAGGGAGTCACTTGGCAAAGATGCTGCTAACCTAAGGGCTTATGCAGGTCCTGTTCAGTGTTGTATCCCAGAACCCAGCATGGAGCCGGGCACATTGATATCAATAGCCCGATAGAACCAAACTTTCTTCTTTGTTTTTTTTAAAAATAAATCTTTATTGTTGAAAGTATTACTTATGTTCCCTTTTTTCCCCCAATGACCCCCTCCAGCCCACCCCTGTCCCCAACCCCAGGCCTTCACCACCCTATTATCTGTGTCCATGGGTTATGAATATATATGCATACAAGGTCTTTGGTTGATTACCTCCCACCCACCCACCCATCTCCTCTCTTCCCTCCAAGATTCTGCACTCTGTTCCATACTTCCATGTCTCTGAATCCACTCCGTTCATCAGTTTATTTTGTTAATCAGACTCCACATGAGTGAGATCATGTGATACTTATCTTTCTCTGACTGACTTATTTCACTTAGCATGATACTCTCCAGGGCCACTGCTCTAAACCCTGATTCAAAAGACAAAGCCAATGAAAAAAATCAGTCCAAGACAACTTCTTTCTCCGGCACTCAGATTCCAATGGAATATTTTCCTTCCTCCAGAATCTGGCTCTGGAGTCAGAATGACCTCGGCTTTATGTTATAGCATAGTAAAAGCTAGGAAAATTCCAGGAGAAGCAGAATAGGGAAACTGAGACAGTTAAACAGCAGTTTGTGTCCATCTAGTACAGTGGTTCTCAACCTTCCTAATGCCGCGACCCTTTAATACAGTTCCTTATGTTGTGGTGACCCCCAACCATAACATTATTTTTGTTGCTACTTCATAACTGTAATTTTGCTACTGTTATGAATCGTAATGTAAATATCTGATATGCAGGATGTATTTTCATTGTTACAAATTGAACATAATTAAAGCATAGTGATTAATCACAAAAACAATATGTAATTATATATGTGTTTTCCGATGGTCTTAGGCGACCCCTGTGAAAAGGTCGTTTGGACCCAAAGGGGTCTCGACCCCCAGGTTGAGAACCACTGATCTAGATTCTAGAAATAGACCCATCTTTGTGA